GCTTTGACCAGAAAGACACACATTATTTTAGGAAAACAGGTTTTAAGTACCAATGCATTTCTGTGGAGCTGCATCTTGGCACTGATTGCAATCACAGGCCCATGAACTAGGGTCTCACTTGATGCAAATCCTCTACTCATCAGATACGACTGGTCTCGTGGACACAGCATACTTTCTAATCGTGTAATCTTATGTCATTGTACAGTAGCTGATTCTTCACTCTTAAAAAGTTAATGTACAAAAGGAAGGTTTCAGTTTTACAAAGCTCCCTTTATCCACTTGAATCCTGCTAAGGTCAAGAGCAAATCTGCTACCGACTCATAACAGCATTTGAATCAAATGCTGAATGTGCTTCACACTTTGTACAATTTCAGTTCAGGAAAGAATTCACTTCCTTAAAGATCATGTGGTGACAACTTTTATCCCTTCTTAGCAAAAGTCCTAGGAGTACTTTCCAGCACTCACCAAATCAGACCATTTTTCTCTTCTAGAAGAGTTTTAATAAAAGTCAGTTATAGTTTTGATCCTATAGATGTTAGAAACTGGTTCCGGCCTCCTTTCATGAACAAAATATCCACTGAAATCCAGACAGCTGGGAGCGTTTGAGGAGATGGGCTGCTTCCAACTCTTATAGCTGTGGAAGAGGAACAGGTCCCCAGGCATTGTCCGTATCCAGATCCACTCAAACACCATTATGGGGCCTACCAGTCTGGAGTGGCACTGGAGAGGACCATCATCTGCACAAACTTCTAAAGGTTCTTCCTCTGACTTCTGCCATGTTTTTGAATGGCTCTTTCAACACTGAATCCTTATAACTCCTTCCTGTAGGCAGCTGGGTCTGGCATGCAGTCACTCTTGTTGCCTCCATGCACATACACACTGAGCTCCGCTCCTCCACCTCATTCCAGCAGATGCAACTCCATCCCTTTTCTGAGCCTGCAGAGAACTAAGTGGACAAGAAGTGACTGCTTAAGCCCCAAAAGCAAATAATTTCCTGCCAATTCACTCCCCTGCACTGGTTCACTGTCAAAGGAGGGGCAGCACTAGCTGGTGGAAACTGTGGAGATGCACAAAGGCAGGTCTGTCTCTTTCTGTGGCACTTTGCCACAGACTTTGGCCTGTTATGAAGCCATAGCTGTCATTTCCTGCCTCTCCCAGTAGATTTGTTTCTTCTCTCTGAAGTGGTGCACTGGGACTCATTTCCTCACACCTCTTGCACAGGGCTCTGTGGTACACTTGCACTGAGCTACAAGTCACCAATGATGAGCAGTTGCTGTAGGGCAGGGATAGATCTAAGGACAGATTTCAGAGCCTTTTTCTCTCAGGCAGAGGAAATTTGGGGTACAGTTCCACACGGGTCGTGCCTGCAACCACCTGGGAATGTTACCAAATCTTGCCTTCCGCATTCCCCCATCTAAGCTCTACAGTCATTTCTCCTGGCTTCAGTGTCACTATTTTCAGCATATGCTGTCTTTCAGCGACATCTAGGGATAGAGACTGGAAATCGCAAGCTGGCTATTTACATAAGCATTGTTTAAAACATATTTCAAGCTGATAAAACTGCTTTGTCTGATAAGCCAACGGCCTAAGGAACAATTGCAATTAAGATCAGGGGAAAAGAATCTCACATTTTGCAGGATTGATGCCCCATGGCCCATTACTCAACTCACATGCATTATCATTAGTTTCACAAAGTGCTCACAGAGACATGGCACTAATTGACATAACATTTCATTCTGGTAAGAAGAATACAAGCAAGATAAAGGCATTTCAGTACTAAGAGCAAAGTACATGAAAAAGGAAAATGTCATCAGGAGGGCAGAAACACTTTGAGGCCAAAAGAGCAAACAGGTTGCTTGTGTGGCTAGATCTACTATTTACTCATTGTTACTACTACTAAATTACTCATTACATTTATATATCAATCCTCTGGTCACAGAGAGTCACCCTGCTTGGTTTTTCACCTACACGGGACAAAGATACGGGCCCTGACCTGGAGATCTTACCTGCAGCGCAAGACAGAACTGATGGATGGAGGCAGGAGAGCAGAGGGAATGGTGGCTCAATCTACACTGCTTTGCAGCCTGGCTTCATGTCAGGCTTGAGTTTGCAGTGTTGAACAGCTTATCGCTGCAGGATCAAACCAGAAGCAGCAGCAAGTCTTCCCACTGTGCCTTCATTTCTTTACTGAAGCAGCAGGGAGGTTTCCTCCAGAGCATAGCCAGGGACAGCCAAGCAGGATCAGACAGAAACCCACCATGTGCCTGTGTAATACATCACATCAAAGATGCAGAAATGTATAGGCTGGCTCTTTTAAAACAGACTTTGTGTGACTGTACAATCTACATCTACTCTGGATTTTCCCCTGTAAACCTAGACTTCTTAAGTATTCACAGCCCATGAGAACAAAAGAATCTTGCACTAATTCATGTCTGAACCTTTGTAGAACCCAAAGAAGTACATCTCTGTGATGGCAGAAGGAAATGTGGAACATATTATCAGAAGAAGATATCAAGAGAATTGCTTATACATGTATCAGATGCTAGCAAGTCCAAAACCAAACTATTTAAATCTGCTTACGTGAAAAAAAGAGTATGGAGAGGGTGGGGACAGAGGCAAGCTGGTGGTTTTTCAAGATCTTTTGGTCTGAGCAGATGGAGCTGTGTTACCTGAGACCCAAATTTAGTGAACAGAAAAAACTCTGTTCAAAAGTAAAGGACAAGTAAAATAAAAATAAAGTCAGTGAATGCTTTGCCAGTATCGGTGCTACAAGATACAATCCTGAGAATATGGTCTGTTCAACACTATTAACCTCAGGGCAATTTCTCTTGATACATATCTGTGAAGTAACTGGGAAAAAACCCATCCCTTTGCTCCCAGCAGCCACTTTGTCAGATCACTAAATCCCTACAGAAAGCACCAAACCTTTTGTTTCTGGTTTTGCCACCACTGCTGAGCAGCCAGAGCCGGCGGTCCAATCTGGCACAGTGACAGGCAACTTGCATGTTCCTGGTGCCCAAGAGAGCAGCACCAGTTGCAGCAGGCTCTCTGAAAGCTTCCATATGGGGACTTGGGAGAAAGCACTGCTTCTGGGTTGATTCAGACACTGAAATAAATATAGCAAGAACTCTTCTGGGCATGAAATGCCTCTTGGGGTAACATAGGACAGACATCAATTTTAATAGCTTCTTTGCAGAAACACAGTAACCAAATCATACATTTGGGAGATTCTCACACTGTCTCTTTATACTCAGTTGTTTCAGCTAAGTTTTCCTTTTAAAACATCCCTAAGGCCTTCCTCCTGAAAACGTATCACAAAAATGTGAATATTAGTAGCCTGAAATCAAATTGAAACAGCTAAGAAGAGACTAGAAACTAATAGATCATAAATCATCTCCTATGATTTAGGTGAGTGTTGGCCTCGATAATTTCTAAAACTTTACAGGTTGGTTTGGTTTTTTTTATCCCTGTAAATCTCCACAGCAAACAACTGACAATCTTCCCTCTTCAGAGGGTACTGTCCTGAAGTTGTTAGGATGCTACTTTTATTACAGACAAAATGTAATTAAATGACTGTAGGGACAAGCCCATAATAGATATCTGTTTCTGTGTGGTCAGATAACATCCCATGATCAGACTGCTCTGGTACTTCGAATTTACTGCCAGCTGCGTATTAGTTTGAATCACTACAGGCAGCAGCCAAGAGATGGAAATTGTACTGGTGCTTCTGCACAGTGCAAACTGCAAGGCAGCAGATACTGCCACGTCCAGGTCACCTTCAGGTGGTGGCAACCTCTAGGGCTCTGCTTTGCTCTACTCGGAAGCAGGATGCAGACACCTCCTTCCCCCTCACCCTCTGCAGAAACACACTTTATCATACATAGCATTACCAAAGGATGATTTAGTTTCAGTGTGATTTAAGCCAGTACTGGAACTGACTTCTACTAGGAAGAAACAATTGAATGATCCCAAGAAACATCTCTCCCCTCAGTGCCCTTAAAAACAGCTTAGCACACATGGCAGCGATGGGTGAAGACTCCAGGCCCAGCTACTTTCAAACAGAACAATGTTCATAATATTTTTCATTAAGTAAGAGCACTACTGGACAATCAGAAAGTTTCTGTGTCACTGCAAAAATCTTACCTAAAGGAAAGGTACGCAAGGAAGGAAGATACTCTTCACTAAATATTCCCTGTAAAGGAATCCATATAGGATTCTCACTCATCACATTTGTTTTAAATAATGTGTGGATTTACGGGTTACCATTTACTAAAAGAACCTGGACAGTGGTCTTGTTCTGTCCCTTCAAATTCTAATCCAGATGTGCACTTTGAGTTGCAAGTGTAAGTCACAGACTGACAGTGTCAGATACTGACAAGTATCAGTTTGCCGGGCCATCTTTCGCCAGTGTTACCAGTACAGGTGTGCTGATACCATCAACGCCAGTTGTGTAGTTGATCACCGATCAGGAGGCACCTTTATCATGGACTTTTCTCTGTTAGAGTGTAGCCAAAGGCTTCTTCCTATGCAACAGGGCTGCCCTTCAGTAGATTTTTTCCAGCAGGACTTTTGGAAATAAAACATTTCTAACCTTTCTTGCCCCATAACTATTCTCTGATTACACATCCATGGATTTATGTTATTTGCTGGGTCTACCTAAAAAGGCAACCTTCTAGTTTATTTTGGGACAACAAACGAAACAACTGCAGTGCCACCTCTTCCCTGGGGTTGACTGTCCTGTCATGATACCCGAGCCTTGCTTGTGTGTGCTGTAGGAATAGAGCTGTTCCCCCCACCTCCAGTGGTGAGAGGGACCCCAAACACAACTGATAGCTAAATCCTTCCTGCCTTTGAGGAGCATGACCCTTCTACTTGCAACCACATCTGCTGAATTCAGCTACTCATAACTTGGAGAACAGAGCCTGAATCATATGTTGTGTTTTTGGGGTTTTTTTGCATAATCACAGTGCAGATGGCCTAAAATGGAAAAAAAAAGACCATTTATTGTACACACAAGTACTTTTAATCAGACCCCAAATTAACTTCAGAAATGTGCTGCCACATTTCACAGATGCAAGACATTCTAAAATAGCTGAGACCAGACTTGAACACTGGTTTCATCTTAAAACACTGTGTGTTTTGCTTATTCAAGAAATTAGATGATTCTCTTCTACACAAAATTTTAGACCTCAAGCCAATATGATCATCTTGTTTTAGAGATATGATATTCCAGGACAAGTCACAGTATTTTTAAGTTGCTCGGTAGAGATTATAGTAGAAATTTAACATTTCTTGAAGAAATCAAAGCCACTTAACAAGAGGATCACACACATCACTATTAAATTATGCTTTTATCTTCCATCAAGAAAAAAAACCCCTTCTTAACACCAGCATAAAATTCCATTTCTTTTAGAAAACCATATATCAAATAACATTTGCACACTTTATTTCAAAAGCTTTTGTTGTCTCAGCTCTGTAGCAATACTCCAGTACAGGTTAAGACTTGTTCATTAAGAGATCAATGACAGGCATGTAGTAAACTTTAAAAAGGCAAGCCAAGTACAAATCCTCTTAGATTATGTTTTTTTAATGCAGACTGAAAACAGTAGGCATGAAACATCTACACAGCAAACATAAAACAGCTATGCCATTTTCCCCTTATTCATCTCAAGAGCTTTTGATCTGGTAACTGGAAAACAACCTTCATGTTGCCATGTGTGGAGGACACATTCCTAACTAAATGGAGTATGGATGTACAAAGAGTCATAGCACTTAAATACACATGACCCTCTAAGACCACTTGCATTTCCCTAGTAGCAACAGCACACTAGTTAGAGGAACACTCAGTGACACTAATCAACACTGAAGAGATAAAAGGGACAGTAACCCCTACTGTGTCCCAAAGTGATCTATAAAAAAGGCCTCCCCCATTCTCTAACTGGCTAAATACTGACTTTGTATATATTTTCACATGGTATGAGGAACTACTGCACCACTAGAGCCTTCCAAGAACAATTAAGGAAAATAATTGCTGACTGGAACTCAAGGAACATCTATCCTACACTGTAAAATTAGAGTAGTACGGCCTGTAAGAGGCTGCAGCATGTTAGACAAGATGTTACAAAAACTACACACTCTAAATAACACATGCATCTGCAAGGCAGCTACACACCAATTATAAGCAGGGTGGCAGTATAGGACAAAATTAAGAATTCTGCCTAACTATTACTATTAATATTTGAAACTTAAGCTTCAACAATTCTTATGGCTTTAGATGTATTTAGAACATTAAATGCCAAACTCTCAAGGAAGTTTTAACTAGGATTTTTAAAAGATACAGAAACAATGTTACAGAGGTCTTGCAGTCCAGGAATTAAGTTAATAAAAACAGACTTCAGAGATAAATATATTTCCTAAGGCAGTTTTTTTTTTTTTACTGGAGTTCCCTCCTCTCTCTCCAAAGCAAAATGGTTTTCATTTAGACTGTGCAAGAATGCAGTGCAGGAACCAAGGTTTAAGCAAAGCCACTGAACACATACACACAACCCAGGTATTCCTCTTTTCAAAGGTTCTTCCACTTCAGAAAATTATTATCTGCCTATCACTGTGCTCCTCATGCTCATCTCTGAGACACATGGTCAAATTTAGCAGGTGATGGTCAAGGGCCTGATAATTTACACAGCAAGAGGAAGTAGGCAAAGTAGGCAGTTTACAGATTTAAATTACTAAATCTCATATTCTACTAATAAAGACTGCTGCCACCGTTTGGCAAGTGAGGGTTTCATGCTCATAGCTGCATTAAGTAGATGCAGATTCAGAACAGTCAGTTTAATGAATTTATTTATGCAACACCTTACTCCAGTGTATCAACTCAGAGTCAGCTACAACAGCCTAATATAACTATGCATAAGGCTGTGAATTTGAAAAACAGTTTCTACATCCAATAACAGCTTGTGGTTAAGCCTAAGTATCACTAGGAAGGCCATCTTGATTTGCAGATCTGAAGGGCACAAACTTCACAACATTCCAACAAAAAGAAAGCACCACCCTTTGCAGTCTGAGCTTGGCCAGTCTCAAGTCCTACTAGTGAATTTCAAAAGTGCTCTCTATTATAAGCTCCCTTTTACTGCCTTGACAATTATAGGCCACATCCTTTACTGCTGGCACAGATGAAAGACTGAAACCTGCCTTCATTGTGAAAACAAATTTTCATGGCAGTACGTTACACAGTTCTTTTCCAAAGCCTTCATTTTCAGCATTCTTGAAACATGAATATGTATTCCAAATAAGTTTAACTCTGACAAAGAAGTTTCAGAGTAAGATAACAAAACATGAAATTGTAAAAATCTTTCATCTAGAACATAAAAAGAGGTTTGGGCTTGTAACAAGGCTAACTACAATCTGAGAGACACTGTTCTGGTTTAAAACACTCAAGGACAAAAATTTCTGCTTTTCTTCTAGAAAGATTACATGGTTTGTTGCCACAACAAATCTCATCTCTTTAAACTTCAAATGTGTTACTTCTTACTTTCTCCCAATTTTGCCCTTCAAAGGTCAAAACACAAGCATCTCCCCTAAAGCACAAAACCCAAGCCACCTATCAACTGCAAGAACAGATTTTTAAATGAGGAGGATGAACAAAAGGTTTTTCTTATTTATTCCAAGAAGAATGACTATAGAGAAATGACTCAAGCTTAGGTAGTAGAAATTAATGGAACGCCATCTGAAATGAAGACTGACTCAGTAACACGAGATGTGCTAGTCATTTGTTAATCTCCAATTCAAAGCCCACTAGAAGTACTCATGTAATATCAGGGAAATAGGAGAAGATAATGCTTGTTTTTCCTCTTGGGCAGGAGAACAAGCTTTAAATGGGAACATCAGTTTTTCTGGCATATGATAAACTGAAAATCACAAAGTGCTATGTACCCCCAATAGATTAATTACTTTAGCACCTAAGAATCAGGACTAGATAAACTTGCAGTAGAATGATTTTATTCTGCTAATCTGCAAGACTTGCATAAGACTTATTTTTGTTTTTTTCATTTGGTGTAGGTATTTTGCGTTTTGCAGCAGGCATTCCTTCCTCCTGAACACATTATACCTTAGTAGTTACAATGTTCTGGAACATCCTTTCTGTTGAACAATTAAGATCTGTAACACCAGGCACAATTTGTGGGGACTGAGAGACTGGACACTGGATTCTTATAGGTGGAATTGTCTAGACCAGACGGAGAAAGAAACTGTCATATAATGCTCCCCTAATTGTTGCTAGTGCCATAAGGGTTCATATCTGAACTCAGAAATCTAAAAAAAAAAAAAAAAAAAAAAAAAAAAAAAAAGTTCAAATGAGTTAAAAGTGAGCATTTCTGTTTAGAAAGGCAAATCTGAATAGGGAACAAAGTACAGGCACATGTGATATTAAGTAATATAGTTTTGCCTATGCTTGATGTTTACTTAGGTAGTCATCAATTTTTTTTTTTCTGGATAAGTTACTAGTAAGTGTTAGCAGTAAATAAATGTCTCTTTCTTCCCTTCCAGAGAATACATGGTATTACATAACGTTTCTTAAACATTTCCCACTATTGCTATAGTTTCACAGCTCATATTTTGAATTGCTTCAGAGAAAATTTCCGTGTCTACCTCAAAAGGAAGACAAGATCTGCATTTTTCACCAAGTGAATTAATTTCATTCTTCAAGAGACATGTCTTACAAACAGAATACCAAATGCCTTAGTTAACTAAACTAGATTAAATGCTTGGTGGAACAAACCTATTATAATTGCCAACAATGCTGAATTAATTGCCTTCTAGAAAAGTAGACTAAATCAGCTTTTTGTAGTAACACCCAAACTCCATTACAAAACTCTCTACATCAACTTTTAATCTCAACAAAACTTTTCATACCAAGAAAAAGGTCAGAGTAGAGCCTGTTCCCTTCCTTACTCCTGCAGCTAACACTACGAGCTCATTAAAGCACTCTGCTTGTCAACATTAAAAGCACAGTCATGGTAGAAGCCAAATCAATGTCTTCCCTCCTCACCCAGTGACAATATCCCATCCCCTTCCTTCAAATATTTTGGGAGAACTGTGTAAGACCTAGATATTTAGCACATTCTCAGTAACAGCAGTCTTAAGTTCAGCTTATTTCACCTCTACTATGCTTCACATTAATAGCTCATAGTCACTGCAATAAATCTTAGAGAAGATTCAGTTACTTAGTGAACAATTTATGTCTTATGTTGCTATTAAGATACACCTACACTACAGACTTTTAAAGCTCTAGTCGTACAGCCACAGGATAAGATCACATCAAGCTAAATCTACTGATAATTCAGCTAATACTTCATCATGTAGATTTTCCAATTTCTTCAATCAGCAGTGAGCTACACTTGGCATAAAGCAGCTCAGCCATTCTTCAGCAAGGCTGCAGTGCTAGTTTAAAACTTCAGCTAAAGCATTTCAGATATGCCAGAAAACATATGAACAAACTTTTATTTTTAAGCGACAACACACACTATTTGAATACAACTCACACATTTAAGTCAGGTGGAGAGTACTAAACTGAACAATCATCACTAATACATTTCCATTGGAAATGTGGTAAAGTTCACAAGTGTCTTTGTTACCACCTTACTGAAGTTTTCTTATGTGTTTCTAGTCTACACACCACCTGTTTCATGCAGTCATGCAAATCTGAATCAAATTGTAAATGTTCAGGTAACAGGGAAGTCCATTCACTGCAAAGATTCATTTTTCACAGAAGAGCCAGGTTAGGTAAGACCAATACTGCAGGGTTCTTCATAAGTGTACAGGTATACTAGAAACCATGAACTTTCAGTTGTTCTTCCTTGACAATGCCAATCTAAAGAAGAAAAGCAACATATTTTAGTAAAGCTTACATACTTAGGGTATTTATTACAGCAATATCAAGTTACCACAATCTTATACTTTGATTAAAAACTGCTATACAGTATATACTCAAAAAACATTCTTCTAGTTCCCAGAATGTTTCTGGGCCAAGCAGAAGAACTGACTACACAAAATCTTATCAGACATCTAATTTCTTCTATAGTCTTAGCCCTTATTCTTTGACAGTGTAACTCTGCATCGTGATTTGCAACAGTCAGCCTCTTTCCTCTATAGTATTTTCAGTCTCACGATTGTGGTTTGCATCAAACACTTGATTTTACAAATGAAGAGCTCAAGTTGCACTGCCAGAGAACAAGTGGTGTGTTGTGACAGGGTAAAGCCATTCTACAGTGCTTTGATTCTTACCAGAGGTTTACTCTCATTGTGGTCATTTTACATTCTAGCTTAAAATACAAAGGAACTATAGTGGACATCTTTAAGTGGTTAATTAGCATCAGTATCACCTGTCACTCTACTTTTTCCAGAGAGGTTTAGATATTTATCTGCAGTCCCTCACCTCCAAGAGAAACTGGCAAATGTTCTTCCTCTGGTCACCTTGCAGCTGGATAACTTCACCGTATTCAGGATGTTCAATCACAGTACCATTACAAGCAAATTTCTAGAGAGAAACATTTATATTGTAAGACATCTGATGTACATCATGATTTTGCTTAGTCAGTCTTTTCAGGAGAACTTTGTCTCAGAAGCTGCTTATTGAATTTTGATGACAAGCCAGGCAAAGGCTAAATCTATTTTACCGGTTTTGAGAGCAAATATCTGCTGATGCATACATACACAAACTAAGCTGCTGCTGCTGGTAAATTCAGGCAATGACAGGATTAGCTACTGTGCAGAAGAAACTAGTGAACAGTCATCGCAAGAACGGAAAACAAAGTCCTAAGATACAGCCTTTCAACTCCACACTATTTTAAAGTAAGTATTTTTATCCTGGCAAAATTAAAGGTCTCCACTTTGAACAGCAACCCAGCTGTTAACAGAGGCAGGAATGCAAAACCCGTTCTACTTTAAGCTGGTTTTATTGTTCACATCAACAAAGCCATATATACGGGAAATTTTAACAAAACATTCAGAATATATTTTATTTACTTCTTTACAGAATAGAAATATTTAACTCTTTAGCAAAGATCAGTCTCATAGACACTGACAGGTGTTTTGCGGAAGACAGTGAGAGGGATCAACCTGAATATGAAAGTGATGTGCACTGCCAAGAATGAAATAAAACAAATATTCTGTTACTTAGTATTAAAAGCTATCACACTTCTTTATATATCTTTATTCAAATCAAGTCAGCAACTTTACCTTTTTGAAAGCTTTCACAAGTTTCTTCTTGTCATAATCATCTGCAATTCCCTGAACAGTTGTTAGTGTCTTTCTTCCGTTTCGTTGCTGGATCCTTATATGAATGTAATCCTCAGTCCCCGCCGGGAGTAAGTCGTCACCCTTTGTTGCATCAGCAAAGGGGTCTGTAGGAGGCAAAAAGATTCATGTAACTCCCACAAAGGAAAACACCCAAACTCAAAAATAATCAGGAAGTTTCTCACTTCACAACATTTATTATTATTTAGGGGATAATCCTGATGTTTTCTCCCTGTTTAAAAACACACTGTTAAAATCAGAGTGCTTTTTTCTACAGCTGTATTAAGTCTCATTCAGCTACCTACTCAGGGCAGTACTCTCAACTACTGTGCATCCAGCTTCTTCAATGCCTTCCCAGATATAAACAATTTTCTGCTATCAGTTTACTTCATTGTTTCTTGCAAACTGTAAATCCTGCAGCTCTGAACCTGAAAACGTGGTTCTGAGAGAACGTCAAGTGCACATAAGTTTCAGACAGTCACAGGCATTTAAAGTGAAATAAAACAATAGTATCTCTTATCAGGTCAACTGGTAAGTACAAAGAAATAAAAAAGCTCTAGTACATACACTCCCTTTACAGGTCCAGAAGAGAAGTCTTATATTGTGACAACTACCACACTACCAGCACTTTAAGGCATGGATGTAATTCTTGGCTACTAATACAAACAAAACAAAGACACACACTAACAGATGTCAGAAGCTATCTGTAAACCAGCACCCTTCCAGTCAGCTTTAGGTGAGAATTGTAACAAAATTAGTTTACGCTTTGACTACAGAAATGTCAGTTTTCAATTTCTTCCAAGCCTAAAATTTATCTAGCACAGATGAAACAGAAAGGCATTTAGAAAGATGGGAGGTTTCTGCATTAATACATCTTAGTCTCTGTATTTCACAAAAACGTATTTAACACTCCATCAAGAAATTTTACGGGTCTGCAAGTCTCCTAATCAGTAGCTCCAAATAAACCTTGAAGCATGAAGTACTTCTTTACTTTTTAAGATGAATCACAAGTAATTCATCAGAATGATCAGAATGATATTGATCAGAATGATATTGAAGAGTCCATGTAGGTTCAACAGCCATGTCAAACAAAATTTCCCAAACTTCCATCCAAACCTCAGACCTAAAAGCACTGATCAAGTTTTGCTATCCACTCAAAAGAAATGTCCCAAATGAGTAAAACTTCAGCAGAAATGCAAAAAAAAGTAGTTCATCTACAGACCGACAGACCTTTGTAGAAACAAGAATGACAAGAGCATTAAAGGAACTGAAAGCAGGATGAGGATTCAAGCACCACAGCAAAGAAGTACAGCAGTGGAAATCTTCAGTAGTTTAACTTCTACTAAGGCATTTGTTTAACCATGCTGAATTTTACTGTGCCCCACAGCTTGTGGGGCAAACACCAACAAAAATTTTAGTCAACAAAAAAAGTGAAAGAAAAAGAGGACTTTGGCATAAAGATCACGTGGTTTAGGACACTAGGCTGGAGATAAACCAAGATCTCTTGGCAGACTTTAGGGCTCTAAGCTAGAGATAAGCCAGCACTTTAGGTATTAAATATAATATATATAAAATATATAAATATAATATATATAACTGTAATATATATATAATATATATAATACAAATATATAACTGGATGTTAAAACGGTTTATACGTGCAGAAGATTAGAGTCAAAGCTGTGACTGAAAGTCTGACGAAATTACTGTATAAACTGCTAACTTGCTCACTTCTGCTGCCTACAGATAAGGGAGGCACCTGGCACGGTTAAACTTCCCTGCTGATACAAAAGAAATTACCTGCCATCTGTATAGCTCAATGTACAGAAACGATAACCTTTGCAGGGCTTGTATCACGTTTTGGGACATTGCTAAGGATAAGATGAGGCAGCAAATCAACAAGCAATTGGAACTGAGGAAAACACTCCCTTCCTTAACAGAGGATACGAACCCTTGATAGGGGGTGTCAGAGCAGGGAACATGGCAGCATCTCCGAGGGGAGCAGCGAGGGGGCTGACCCTGCCGCCCCAGGTCTCTCCGCTGCACACCCTGAGCACGTCCCGAGGCCAGCGGCACGGGAGGACAAGGATGAGCCGCCGGCGCTGCCTCACGGAGCAACGCGGGGACGGCGACACCCGCTCAATGTCACCGCGGGGGCGGGGGCACCGGGGCCTCGGGAACGCGGGGGCCACGAGTGGGTTTGCTGCGGGGGTGGCTGCGGGGATGGCAAGGTGTCGGCGGCTCTTACCGAAGGATTGGAGGTTCTGGATCGAGGACATGCGACTCTACGGCGAGAGGCTGGAGCTGCGGGGAAGCGAGTCCGCTCGGGTCACGTCTGCGGCTCCGCAGTGCCAGGAGGGGGCGGGGCACGGGAGGGAGCGAGGGGTGGGGTAACAACAGCAGAGGGACGCGGGGGGCGAACCTGAGAGAGACAGAGCAAGAACAAAAGGAAGGAGTAAGAGGAGAAGGAAGCGCAAACGGGAATAAAACGGGGAGGGAGGGACCCCCCGCCCCTCGCCCGCACCTCCCCACGGCACCGCTAACGGGCACCGCCCTTCGCGCTCCGCACAAAATGGCCGCCCGCACGTGACGGGCCCGCAGGAGAGCCGTTCCGGGAATCACGGAGTCATTCGGGTTGGAAACCAAATGTTGCGACCGAACGCCACCACGTCAAGTAGACTACGGCACTAAGTGCTACGTCCAGTCTTTCCTTAAACACCTCCAAGGACGGTGACTCCACCACCTCCCTGGGCAGCCCATTCCAATGTCTAATCACCCTTTCTGTGAGGAAATTTTTCCTAATGGTCAACCTAAACCTCCCCTGGCACAGCTTAAGACTATGTCCTACTGCTAGTTGCTTGGGAGAGGACAGCGACCCCCACTTTGCCACAACGTCCTTTCAGGTAGTTGTAGAGAGCAGTAGGGTCTCCCTTGAGCCTCCTTTTCTCCAGGATAAACAACTCCAGGTTCCTCAGCCGCTCCTCATCAGATCTGTGCTCCAGACCCTTTATCAGCTTCAGTGCCCTTCTCTCTGGCACCTCAGTGTCCTTCCTCACCTCAATCAGCAGAGGCCCTGACAGCACCATTGGCAGGTTGCTGGAGTCCCTTGCTCTCCACCCTGACAGCCCTCAGGGACTGCTGTGTCCCAGCAAAGGTCACCTCCATGGAAGATGCCGCTTCCATGCTTGCATCCCTTTGGCTTGGTGCTTTTCAAGTTGATCTGAAATTGAGAGAGCACTTTCCCTTTCCCCACTAAAATACATTGCAAACACCCCTCCTTCAGGCCTTCCCTTCTCTGAACAAAGTGCTGCTTTAAATGTTGAATATGCTAAGGGAGGCAGTCAGTGCCCCACAAACTGCCTGCATCCCCACTTTGGGTACGACTTGGAAACACAAGAAGTTCCACCTCAGTGCGAGGAAGAACTTCTTTCCGTTGAGGGTGGCAGAGCATTGGAACAGGCTGCCCAGGGAGGTTGTGGAGTCTCCCTCTCCGGAAATATTAAAAACCCACCTGGGTGCATTTTTGTGTCACCTGCTCGAGGTGACCCTGCCTTGGCAGGAGGGTTGGACCAGATGATCTGCAGAGGTCCCTTCCAGCCCTTACAGTTCTGTCATTCTGTGAGCTTTGCACCCTCCCTCTCAGGTGGGCGCAGATGCCATTCCCCAGCCCTGGGGGGCCATGATGGACGGCTGGTGTGTGGCCCCAGAGGGTACCCGTGCGACAGCTGCCCACTGACCATCCCTGTTTTGGGAGGACATCAGCGGTGTGGGGTCTGTAGTAGGAAAAGTTTGCAATTAAAAAGGTGTGCAGGTGTTACAAAGCTTGCCAGTTCTCAGGAGATGATTAATGGCTTTGCAGATGTCCAATAATCTAATTGCATTGGCACAACTGCCAGAACCTGTATATCTCTTGTATTTTTTCCCCTTTTTTTGCTTTTATACTAAGCTTCAGTCCTCTGAAATCAGAGGGATATTTTTTTTTTTCTGTGATCCAAGGCCTGGATCAGAACTGCAGTAGTTTTATGAATGCCAGTGTGCAATGGCCTAAGAAAGTTTCTGGTCCTGGTGCTTTACAAGGAACCTTTTCTTTTTCCCATGGGGAAAGCAAGGCCATTTGCTATGGTACAAAACCTCTGCTTACTCTTTGCTACCATGATTGATGCAGCCTTTCATTGCAGCATGGGCTCTAGAGGAGGGTTGTTTAAGTCTTTCCCAAGCAACTGCAAAAGGCACTCCTGGGGCTGTAGTGGGAGGATGAGGCAAGAACTTGAGGTACCTGCTTCAGTCAGAGACATGCTGCGATTTGGACAATGTCTATGGATTCAGGATGCAGAGCTAGACACTGAGAGACCTTCTGGGAAGGCTGAGGAAGCTCAGGACTCCTGTCCTCAGGGAAACGACCCCGAGGTGTCTATAGCAACACTCTCAGAGAACTTACATTACTACTAATGTCAAGAATGTTTGTCTCTGATACGTTCTTGCTAATTCTGCATCTCTCTGCAAGATTTTCTTTTGCTCTCCCATCATCATCCCATGAAACCTTTTCCTAGCAGCAAAGCAGGTCCGTCCCCTTTTTTTCTTTCAGCCACTGTTTTTTGTTACCTTATCTGGGCCAATCCTAGTGTCTGTGGGGCACTGGGATGAGTAAGATCTGCAAAGTGATTTGAGTTAAAAAATGAACTCAAAGGTTGCATCAAATCCACTCCACTACAACAGTTGTGCTGAGACAACCGAAGAGGACAGAGTCTGGGGACAGGCCTGGCTATGAATGAGAGGACAGTGGATCTGCAGACACAAATCCCAAGTCCAAGTCTTCAGGTTTAGGCAAGTATTCTGCTTGCTGTGTCGGTTCCTGTGTTTACTTTGAATCCTCATGCATTTAAAATAGTTTTACATTTCTCATTCTCACTGCTGGGTTAATCCAGTCCTACGGGCTCATTGGGCATCTCTGGAATTCATCCTACAGTTTGCAGACAAATGAGATTTGGTGTCTGGGAAGCAACAAAGCTCCTTTATAAGCCAAGAAGATGTGATTATTTTATCCTTAAAACTGATCCACAATGAATAGTTCTGAAGTGTAAACCTTGACAACTGATGAGGGAATGGCAACAAACCCTAACTGCACAGCTTGACATGTGCTGGGCAGCAATTAAAACAAAGGTGGTGGCCAGCACCCTTATTGTTCTGTTGGCAGCCTGCCACAATGTTCATGTGCATTGGCGGAGTCTCTTGGGGCTGTGTCTGTGCAAAGAGCTCTCCCTCTGCTGTCCTCCTCAGAGGGAGCTACAGGTCTCCGTGTCACATCTGTCAGGAAGGTCAGACACAAATACAGTCTGTGCTACCACGTTGCACCAAACCTTGGTGACTGTGGGCAGAGACAGGTGGCATCCTGCTGGAGACATGCTTCTCTTGCTCTTGCCCCTTGACAGCTGTTCTGAGGTCTTTCGTCCTGACTGAGTCCTTCCCATTGCTCTTGAGCAGCCGCTCATGACAAAGGAGCTGTGAAAGTCCTGATTGCGAGGGCTTCCAGCCATCCTAGCCTGAAGAAAGGTGGGCAAAGCAGACATGGCAAACAGCAGCAAACAAAAAAGGTAGAAGCAATTAAAATAAGTTTAAAACCTAAGTGGTGGCAAGAGGTGTTGTTGCTTAATTTGTTGTTGTTAAATTTTCGATTACGGCTAATTGTCCTATAGCAGAGGCTGGAGTTAATCTCATTCACTAATATTAGACATCAGAGTTTAAACAATGGATTGGAAATGAGACTCTTGCCTCTCCATAACTAACATACAACCTGCCAACTATGGTGCCAGAAAAAAAGAACATCATCACTAATTAACTTGATCCTGGCTTCAGGCTATTTAAATGTAATAGTTGCAAGACCTGGTTATGAACAGCAATTAGAGATCCCCTTGCCTGCCTTTTTCTGTATTTCAGTTCATCTGTCAAGCTGCATGTGAATCATTAGAGGTTATTTATGACTAGATGAGCTGCAGGGATTAAAACTGGAGACTCACTGACATACAGATGATAAATATGACATACTGAAGCCATAAAGTACACTTTAAAATGTCACCCTAGTGCAGAACTGCACCTTCATTGGGTACCCTCAGAAGTACTTCAGATGCTCTTGAGGAGCAATAGGTAACCCAGACCAGTGAGAGAAACTTTCTTCCAGAGAATTGCTGTTTTGGAAAAATGGGCTGGGAATGCCATGAAAAAACCTTGCATGAGGAAAAAAAACAAGTTACCTACACAGTAGGGGCTCAAGCTATGCTTTAGTTTAGGACTTGGCATGGCATATGTCTTTGGTTGTGTGCTTGCACAAGGCCCCACTTACCTGCAGCTGCCCTTCTGTAATAACCAGAATGAACAACATCGTTTTTCACTTCCTACAAACATGATTCTAATATATACTACTATTATTTTCGTGTGCAGCATCCTAATATTTTAAGTTTTATTCCTTACGTGCTTTTACAAAGCTAAAATTTAATTTCATTAAGGCTTGCTCCTGTAGACAGATCTCCTGTACCTGGTCCTGCAGTCTGCCTTACCAGAAAATGGCAGACTTGCATGCTGACCTGTCCTCTGCAACAGCCTGGAAACCCAGTTACTGCTCGAAGCACTCAGTGTTCAAAGAGCAGTTTAAGTTGCCTGAAAAAGTGACTGTACATGAAATATGCAAATGGCACATAGCAGCACTAATTTCCATCTTGCAACTACTCTGTGCACAAAATCTGCTCCACTCCAGCACCAGAAGTTGTCCTTTGCTGGCCTAATATTGGCATTCTGAAAATAATGTCAAAGTGCTGGATGCCTGAGAGATATGTAAAAATATTTCCTTCCTTGATTTTTTTTTTCTTGAACTTTAATCTTCCCTGTTCCCACTACACGATTCTACCTACCATGTCCAGCTCCATTTGGAATCTGCACATCCTGAACCTCTGTGCAGGAGATTGCCTGGTGGTTTTCTAGCATGGAGGAAGAATAGCAAAAATGTCAGGAGAAATCCTCCCTCTCCCATCAGCAGAATAGTTTTGAAGGTGGCTGTAACCATGCCAACCCTGACTTGTATTTTTCCATCCAAGCTCTAACTCTGGTGCAAAGCCTCCACAGTGTGCTGAGGAAGGGCTTGTGGAGGCTGGCTGATGTCCTGAGCTGTAGTCTATGCTTGAGCTGCCCAGCTGCTAACAAGTTGTTCCAATAAGCATGTGCTAACTGGGAGACTGGGCAACCTGGACACTGTGCTGCTGATAAACACCTGGATAGCTAGCCTAACTCGTGAGAATTGGGCTTTTATGTAGTTTGGCTGAGCTTCAGTAAGTGGCCAGATTTCAAGATACACATGCTTTTGTTTGAAATGTGGGGGTTCAGTCCTTGCTCAGTAATGATTGAAAACAAGATAATTTCAGCATTAACCACTAGATGGTCCTCTTTCTCAAAGAAAAAAAGTAGCTCCAAAATAAAGCCAGTCCTGGCTTTTCTCTGAACCTGAACGTTAGTAGAGAACAGCTTCAGTGTAAAGCTAAATGTAATTAGAAGTTTCATGTAGTTGCTTGAACTGACATGGTTTTCTGAATAGGTTTGAATACAACTTGTCCTGAATCCTTCACACTCAGAGTAACTGGGCCTCTTATCAATCATCAAATTCTTCCTAGTTAATGTCAGTTAAGAATTTCCAGCTCCAGGCAGCACAAGTGTCAGTCTTATCCCCTCCTCTGATTCAAAGGAGAAGCCAGAATTATTTCTATGAAGCTTCTGAGTACTGTATGTAGCACTGTGGTAGTTCACTTGTGATCTGGTGGAAAGAAATAATGAAATCCAGTCAATGAGGATGGAGTAAAATAGTACTTTGGTAAGAGAAACGCCTGATGAGGCTCATTTAAGCAGACTGCCATGTAATTTATTAGTCTTTGTTGCCAAGAACATTTTATAGTAGCCTTTTATAAAGTCAGAATGACTGAAAGTGAAAAGGAAAATACTTGAATGAAAGTGAAAATGGAAGTTCTTGAAATTGGCAAGTGGTGTGTCCAGAACAGATGCAGAGCCCTGATCCTTCTGGTAGGAGAGGAAGAGCCGTGAAGTCCTTGGCACACAATTTGGTGGATGCTGAGAATTTACATGGGTTCAAGAAGCAGTGGTGAAAGGGAAGTAGTCCGTCAAGGGCTACCTACCACAAAGAAACGTTTGGCTTGGGAAGCCTCTGGACCACAGGGCTCAAGAATCTGCGAGAAGAGTCTAGTGAGGAATGTCAAAATATGTTTCCCTGTTTTTAGACTTTTCCATAGATGTTCTTTGCTGTCTACTGTCAAAACCAAGATGCTGCAGTAGATCAACCTTGGGCCAGAATGAAGGTAGGTGACTGTATCAGAGCGTTTTAAATGCTGGTTCTCCTAAATGGCTTTTTTTTTTTGCTTGTTTGTTTTTTGTATGACATATTATTTTGCAGGCAGCATTTACCAATCAGCAAACCATGTTCACATGAGGACACTGAATAATTTTGTTTTACATAGTAATTTCCATGTAGGTGACAACTGGTGAAAATGATTGTGCTGTTGAAAGGCTCACATTGCAGTGCCAGCAAGAAAGAATAAATGGGATGAAAAAGACTTTTGCTTCTGTTTTAAGATGTTAGAGTCACCAGCAAAACAACAAAACAAGACAGGATTCTGCATATTCTGGAGAAAAAACCCTCTTACTCCAGCAATTGCACACTAGACATTGAGAAAGGATACCCACATTTGCTGGTTAAAATAAATGTGAAAAGCAGTAAGGGAAAAGATCTACTATGAGATTCCATGAAGAGTCTTACTTACTAAGGTACCCTCTGCATGCATGCACACAAAATTGGAATGGCAGAAGCACAGCTACTGCCTTGTTCTTGGATACAGATTGATTTTTACGTAGGGAGCACTTGGAAGGTTCAAAGGCAACATGCTAAAAGGAGGTTTCTGAGGAAAGCATTTATATCTATTATTGATTGTATTAGCTGTAAAAAGACTTTTTGTGCCATCATGGACTTGAAGTGCTCTTCATGTTTTGTAGTTGTAATCCTGAGTAGTCTGAGTAAACTCTTGAAAACTTGGATGAGGAAGACACTTCTTTTAGCTCTTGCTAGGTGAAAATTGGAGAATAGAAAGTATTTCTCAGGCTTCTTTACCATTTTTGTTCATACATATACCCATAAAACAAACTGTTACCCAGAAATGAGAAATTTATTTTAATCCCCACAATTGGTGACCATACTCTCCCAAGTGGTGGTGATGGGGTCATCTGCTTGGTGCCTGGATGCTGAGTAAGGGCAGGACCAGGCAAAATATCAATCATGCTTCCTTGTAGAAGTACCCAACAATTGCCCCTAGGAAATAAAATAATCTTATTTCTTTCTGGAGATGCTACAGTGAAATAGCATTATTTGTACTTTGAAGTTTTCCTAACTGGAAGCATCTTTATAGAAAAATTGAATGACAGATTTGCTATTGAACTTCCTCTTCATCCTAATGGGTTTTCAGCATTTCCTATCCAGTGTCAGTTTCTAGACAGTCAGGCCTCAGAGCCCCCTTTCTAAGCACAGACTTAAAAATTGTTTCTTTAGGTTGTCAGTCCCACCAGGACTGGAGCACAACCCTGTGTCTGTGAAGAGAGAGCCTGTGGTTCCCAGGCAGCCCAGTAATGCTTCACGTCTCAGCTTCTCTGCAGGATGGTGCCCAAGGTGTGAAACACCTGCCAGTTCAGCTGCTGCTCCTCTACAAACCTTCACGGTAAACACGGTCTTAACTCTTAATGCAGTGAGGTCTTAACCAGCAAGGCTGTGATGACACGTTAGTCAAGAGGCAGAGTTAAAAATAACCACTCAAAAGAGATGCCTATTGTAGAAATACAATATTGCTCCAGATAGTCTCATGCAGGTGAAATTTTCTCTGCCACTAAACTGGTAAGTGCCTGCTTAAGCACTGAATCACAACTGATTTCATCAGCTACTTGGGTGCTGGGCTGCAGTATGACCTAAAAGTTATACGTGGGTGAGTTGACCCCAGCTGTGAGTTAGGGGCTTAATGAAACTAGGGCTGCCATCAAATAAGATCCCAAGCAACAGCCAAGGATGGGACAACAGCAAGAAGAACAAGGGCTGAGGAAGGAGTGCACGGACTGCAGTGTTCCAGCTTGCTGGCCCTGAGACCTTCCCACTCTCTCCTCTTTCTCCCCATACCTCATCCCCAGCCATGAATGTTTCCCCCCTTTAGAGATGCTCTTCAGACAGAGCATCTCAGCGGGCAGCACAGAGGGCTTGGCTCTCCTTTGTAGAAAGCTTAGCAGCTAGTGCTGCTCTTGGCTGCCTGTGTACACTCACCCATAGGAACACAGCAACAGCCTCCTCCCCTCTGCTCTCCTCCTGGTGGGCCTGGGGCCTCAGCCACGTGTTCTGCCAGACCCCCCTTGCATACTGCTGGCGCTGCCCTCAACTCCTGCTCCCTGCCCCCTTCCCTGATCAATGGCTTTCTAATAGAGCCACCATTCTCTACTCCTCCTTTTGTAAATTTAAATCCTGCTCACTAGTACTGCTGACGTCCTCCTGGCCCACCTCTTGACTCCCCCTCCCTGCTTCAAGCCCACTTCCCTCCAGTATAAAAGGTACAAGCCCCCATCAGCTGCCCTGCTTCTACTTGGAGCAGTGACTACCTGAGAAGCAGCTTTGGTGCAAACAGGTGAGTGCCTCCCTCTATCTTCTTCAGTGCTTGTCCAGGCTCTTGTTGGATTTCCTCTTTTCTTTTTGAGCTTTAGCTTACCTACACTAACATACGCAGCTGTGCTCTTTTGTCCAGTTTTTGTAGCAAAGGAGACTGTGCTGAGGCAATGTGGCTGAGCCCTCAGGCAGTGGTGCGTCCCTGCAGGGAGAGCACAGGCAGCAGCCTCCAGTGCAGCCGTACGCCTCTCGTGCCACTCAGTCCTGAAATGGGCCATGGTCCCAGGCCTGGGTTCACCCAGGCTCTGATCTCTCATGGGTACTTCCAGGGCTGCTTTTGAACATGAAAGTTATTGACATTTGCATTGTAGGAGGTGTACACAGCCGCTGATCTCCTGTAAGATGCTGGCTTGGGGATTAAATAGTTAATAGCACCTTGTTTGGGGTTTAAATTGCTAATAGCACCTTGTCTTCCAAGGACAACCATGGTAGGCTTGTACCTGATGGGTCTGCAGCAGAGCTTGAGTTTTGTCTGCTTAGAGCCCCTGTGTGCCCAGAGGCAGGGCCAGGCTGGTCTCCCACTCCTTGTGTGAGGCAGACCCATGGCAATCTGTGATACTGTGGCTTCACTGTAACTGCATTTTTGTGACTTTAACTTTCCTCTCTCATGTCAATGGAAGTTGCCAGACTACTGTCACAGATGTTGCTCAGCCAAAATTTAAAGACTTACTCTGCTTAGGCACCAAGCAGAACTGGCAAGTTGACCAGATAGCAGCAGTGCTGAATTTTGCTGAGCTCCAGGAGCAAAATTATTCCTGAAACTTTTAATTGTGTCAAGTTTTGTTCCAAATAGTCAGGTTTTAAATTTTTTGATGATTATTTAATGGTTGAAAATGGATGGCATACAGAGCAACTGTATGAGGTCTTGTTTTTTTTTTTCAATTTCGTCTTCGAAAGAAAGCTGCAGGTCTATGGGCTAAGGCAGGTCTGGACCTCAGGAGATTACAGGCCATCTCTCAGCCACAGTACTCTTGAAAGGACTGTGCATGGGTAAACTAGGATTTTTTGCTTATTGACAAGGTGGAGCTGGGTGTTAGAAACGCTCAGAGTCAAGTGTTTGGCATTACCTCTGCCTGTGTTTCTTCCCATAAACAGGGGTGGGACAATTAGGAGAAGAAAAATGAGGGAGGATTAGAGATGCTGAGCCCCCTGATTATTTAGGGGTGGCATGTTACTGAGGAGCAGTGGGAGCAATGTGCTTTGCAGAAACCCTAGCCAGGATAAGAGTATGAGTAAAAAGTTCAATAAATAACAGCACTGTAGAAGGTGGCTGGGATGACTGATTCAGGCACAGGACCAGCTGGTGGAGACTGAAACCTGGCATGCTTAGGAAAAAGTGTGTGTTAAAAACTTTTCTCTGTATTTTTGTCCTTCATCAACAATGAGCTCCAGACAAGCTCTTCCTTTCTGTAACACAGTTCCCAAAAAACAAGACACAAAACAAAAGAGCAAGTAATCTGGAAAACCTGTCAGCAACCCTGTAAACACACTGGAGAGATGCCTAAAAACACCTTCTTTTTGTCACTGAACATAAGGCTTTGCTAAACATGGAGCAAGAAGAGATGTACCCCAGCTGAAACTGAAGGCAGAATTCACCCCCTGTGGTTTTAGGCTAAGGTAGTCCTGTGATTGTCATGAGATTGTTGTGAGCTATTTAAGTTAGAAAAAGTTAAACCGCAGTTCTGATATCATGAGTTAAAATCACTTTCCTCTAAACTGCCTGGTTAGAAACTGTCAGGGTGGGAAAAAGCCTTAGAGAAACCTTCACTGAATACTAGGGGTTAAGGAGCTTTTGACTGCATTTTAATTAAAGACTCAATCAGGTTCTCCATGTGCTTTTGCTGTGTTGCCTGTTTGGTGTACTTAGGAGCATCTCACATCAAAGATTTTCCTTCCTGCTCTGCCTGTACTGAAAGCAGGCTATGATTTTGGCAGCAGCTGGGGAAAAACCCCACCCATACATAAGGAGAAGCCTCTATGTAGCCAGAGCTGAGAGGATTTTTTATAGCTCTGTGCTTACATATCTCCTATAAGTGATGCTTAAGTAAACAGGGCTCCTGCTGACTTCTGTAGGAGAGGCTCCAGGCTGTCAAATACGTAGGCAGACCTTGCATGTTACAAGACAGACTGTCCTGGCATGTCAGCTGGGAGAACTGCTGCAAGGAAGCTTGTACAAAATGCTAGAGAAAGTGGTAACCCGAGCCTGGGCTCATTCACCTCCTGGATGCAATTTTCCCAGCTTAGCACTTTCTGTTCTGCCCAGCCTGTCCCATGGGGAGACGGGAGGCATTTCTCATTCAGTTGCATCTGGGTGCATTTACAGGATTGCGACATCTATCAGTGGAAACCATAACTGGAAATCGTACTTTTGCACTCTGGGTGTGATGACACAGGAGGATCATTCTCTTTAATACTGAAATGCATTTAGTTGTAAAAAGCGTGTGTAAAATGCAAATGTTAGATACATTTTACCAGTGAGGAAAGGATGCCGGAGGTAGTGGCTAAAACACACTTTGGTGGCCGATGCCCATGGTCATACAGAGGGCCACACAGCAGTCAGCAGTGAGCTCAGGGCCAGGACTCAAGTGCCCTGTGAAACCATGTCAGGGGCTTTCACTGCTGGAGAGAAAATATTTTTTTACCTCAGTAGATGGCTCACTGCATAGCCTTGACCTTCAAACAGAAAAGCCCAGGACATCCCCAGCATCAGTGTTCCACAGGACTTAGAGCCAAAAGATGGCTCTGTTGGATAGGAGCACGCTGTTCCAGTTGACGTGTTGCTTCACCTTGAGAACTTTAACTCACGTGTGTTCCCCATGTTCGCTTTTTTCCTTACAGCCTTCCCACCACTGCTCTGTCATGTGGCATCCAATCTCCTGGCCACCACGTGCCCAGTGGTCACCAAACCGCTTAAAGCTGGTCACTGTCTATGTGCTGGTGCTCTTGGTATCGCTCAGCTTTGCTTCAGGACACAGCAGGCCATTTAAACATCAGATAGACAACAGAAGTAAGTATGATTCTCACCTGACATAATGGTGACCCCGCAGTCTCTGCTGCACTGAGGGATCAGGGTTGGGCTGTCAGGAAAAGTTCAGCAGCAAATCCATGTAGGTGTTTCTATGGTGAAATGTTGGTGTGGGACCCTGTGCTTCCATTTAACCATATGCAGAACTTCATGTCTTTCTCATAGCCTTTAATTAACCAAGGCAAATAGCAATATTGCTGATAAATATCAGAGAAGACACTAATATGCAAAAGATAAGAAAATGTAAGGTGGTATACATCAAATATTTAAGCACCAAATATCAGCTGTATTCTGTAGACCTGACATAGTTCACAACCACTTCTATATAACAAGAAAGCAAGGGCCAGAAGCTTAAGTTCACTTTACGGACATCTTCATTTCTGTCTGAGAGCACAAGTTGTCTGAAAGTCCAAATACGAATAGTTGAAGTGTCTCCATTCAGAGATGCTGTGAGGAAATGAGGCTGGCCAGGTGAGGGACAATACCATGTGTCCCAAGTAAAAGCTTACACACAGTCCAAAAGATTTTTGAGAAAATCGTATCAAGAATTCTTGTCTTTCCCCAAGGAGCAAAGGGAGTGGGAGAAAGGGGATGTGAGGAGTAAGGTGTGTGGGCTCTCAGTAGCACATCTTTCCCCGTTAAAGAGGACTAGAGATGTTGGGAACCTCAGTTTTTAGGTACATGGGTGAAAAAAATTAAGTTACTTGGGTTTTGTTGGGTAGGAGGGGTGCTAAACATTGTGCTGAAAGACTTAAAAGATATATTTATGGAGAAATTTAAAGGCAAAGTGAACTTTTTATTTTCTCTGTTCAAGCATCAAAATGCACTGGGGAAAATCCTCCTGCCTTGCCTGAGACTTTCATATCACTGGGATGATATATAATGTGCTTAACTTTTAGTCTGTTCCTGTTCCTGACAGGTCTCTGGCTTCGGAATGATTTGGCATTTCCTTGGGGTGGGATCATCTCCAGCACATTGTAGAATTTCCCTCTTGCTATATCTTAGTCCTTTAATAGAACTATACCCCTCTGCACACCTGCTCCAGAACTGTATTAGACTACAAAAATAAATCAAGTGTCAGATGCTTTAAAAGGAAAAAAAAAGAAAAAGTCACCCATGGAAACAACTTGCTAAGTGAACAGTAATTAATTTTAATGTTTACCCCTCACATAGGAACCCCCTCTGCAATCCAGTGGATTTGTTAGCTTATAGAAATAGTGTACCTGGTACACACTGCAGAAAAATCTGATGGATAATTTGGCATATATTAAAAATACAGGTTGCAGACCAGATGGATGAAAATTCATTTTGCGTCTGAATTCTCTTCTTTCGGAGTCTATACATAGAAAGCAATTCTCAAAGGCACCAGCAAGTCGTGTGTCTGGCTGCAGCCTTTCCCCTTGTTTTTCCTTGTGGGCTACATCCTCAAGATGTTCAGGAAACACTGCCTCTAAGTGCAGTAGTAGATGCCTCACTGACTGCTTTGAATTCCAGGTCCTGAGATTGATCCTTTTTGGTATGTGGGCCGTGGGGTTCGTCCCATCGGCAGGTTTGGGAAGAGGCAGCTGAGAAGCAGCCATGGCAGCCTCAGGCCTGTGAGCAGACACCTGGATTTCATTTTGAACGCTTTGTGGGAGCAAAAAATGTTGGACACAGAAGACAATGACTGGTGATCTTTGTTCCCCAAGGTGGTGACCCAGCCTCTGTTCTTTGAGTTGTGCCCTCCCCTGCACCTCAGACCTACAGTTCTGCTTTTGCCCAGCAATTCCACGCTGCTTTTCTTTTTGCTTCTTGTGCAAGTTCATTCAAAAAGAAACATGTTCAGGGTGCAGGTAAAAGACAATGCATGGACACAAGCACTGATTGCCACCACACCTTATAAAAATGTTTCTTCGTCATGCATCCCCACCAATCTCCTGATGCTGTTCACTGTAATGCTAGGTTTATCCAAAACCAACACAGCTTTTGGGCTGGGATTTAAACTTCGCAGCATGACATGTATCATGAAACCCTCCTGTCTCATTTCAAAGTCAATGGCTGTTGATTTGTAAAAATAAAAAGCAATGGTTGGAAAAAAGAAAAAAGGCTCTCACTGATTTTTAATGTACCTCCATGCATTAATGGCATGAAATGCTTGTTCTCTGTGCGTAGCTTTTATAGAGATTGTTAACATCCACTCATAAGAATGTTGCCCTGAAGTACCCCTTGGCCCTTCATGATTCTTCCTGTACTGCTGGAGAGATATATTAATGAACAAAGAGGAGCTCCTATCAAAGATAAGTATTTTCCCCTGCAAGGAAAAAAAAATTGGCTAATTGAACTCCTTGGAGTAGTTTTGTGCCTACTGCATATAATCACCCACCATTTTCCAAAAGGGGTAAAGGCCTGAACTAGCTGATTACCTTTAAAACAATGTAGTTGTTTCCAAGTACCGTATCTGAGCAAGCTCAAGTCATTCTTTGAGGATCACAAGCCATGTACCATCTACTACGTTAGTCCACATCAATAAGCCTGGGGTTGTGGCTCAACACTCATGTTTACTCATGTTAATATAACCTTGTTATATTAATTTTATAAGAAGTGTTATTTAGAATATGTTTAATGTTGATTAATAACTATTAGCAGGAATAATGATGTTTAATCTATGGCTTATATCCAAAAGAGATAGTTTACAAATTAGGTAATGACTGATAGTTAAATCCAGGCCATGAATCATTCTGCAACAGACAAAGTAGAATGAACTTCCGCTTCTAGTTGTGCTTTGTTAGAATTACTACTAAAATTGAACAGTGATTGAATTAACCATTGCAGATATCTTAACCCTTTTTTCTCTTTGCAAATGGTCTGTCAGCAATGGATGGATTTTTATTATAATAAGGTAGTTACTACCATTTATAATACAACATATCTGCTGACCCAAAGTGTTACTTAAAACATGCTAGTTTTAATGAATTCTTTCATGGTGGAGAATATATACTAATAATTATTTTGATCAGCATTCATCGCACAGGACTTTGGAAATATGAGATTAAGATTATTGGCAGGGTTCTTGCTCAGATTCTGTAGCAATCCCAAAGACAGTTAAAGAAATTCCACCTGAGAAACTGTTTGGGATGGTAGTTCACCTAACAGACTTGATATTTTAGAGAAGACTAACCATCAAATGTTCCTGACACGATTCCTCTCACCCCAGCCCTAAAGAAGGGAGTCTGAACTGAGTGTGTCCCCTTCCCCTCGGCAAACCCCAGTACCTCTGTGGAGCTGCCCATCTCCCAGGTGTGACCGTGTCACTCGTAGACAGGCAGCACCTGAGCCCCATGCGTGGCTGTGTGTTCTGCACGCCTCCTGGCCAAAGGGCACATAAACTGAAACCACAGAGAAGAACTTTTTGTTTTTCTTTATGAATCAAGTCCTTGAAAAGGCATTCTTTTCATAAATCGCTTTTACTCTTTTATAATTTCTCTTGACATATAATTCTTGGTGAGTATGCAGATAACAACAACAAGGCAAGCTTAATATTCACTCAGACTTAATCAAATAGATCATATAGTCTTGATTTTACCCATTAAAATATTTTCATTTATAAAAATTAATCTAATTATAAATATTAACACTAAAGATTGAAATCACTTGATGACAAAATAATTCTTTGTGTGCTATAACATATGTTTTTATGATTTTTTTAAAACAGGAAATTATATCTTTGCACGTATTTGGCACAATAAACATTTGTAAAAATTCAAATGCCTTAGAGCAGGTGGGATTTTTTTAAATTTTTTTTTTTTTTGCAATGCCTACACAGTACACATTTTTCTGTCAAAGAAGACTGAATATTTTAACATTGTAACACGATAATAGTTGCTTTTCATGCCTCTTAAGGAAAACAGCCTATTCCAAACTTCATTGGTTTGTTTAAATCACACTAACAGAACAAAAGCCAAAGAATTATTCTATTAAAATTAGTAATTTCTGTATTGATATTACATACACAATATTAGTTATTATTTATTAAACAAATATGCAGACCAACCACCATTAATGACATTTCATAACACGCATACCTGCATAAACCAGAACCTGGGAATGTATTGTATACATACACGAGAACAGTCAATGGAGGAGAAGACTGAATAACAAAAAAATTACTAGGCATCCTACTCTGTTTAATCTCCTTTACTGGATTGCATATATAAATAAAATCCATTTGTTTTATGTATATATTTATATATTAAACAGAGTGGGCTGAATTCTGCCCTCACATCTGTGCAAACCAATTTTAGAGAACTAGTATTGTGTGAGAGTAAAAGAAGGCCTAATTTCACCCAGAATGAACACACTAGTTCAGATCTTGGGCAGATGGAAATTCCCTGAAGGGATGGAATGACACTTATGTATTCTAGGTGGGAAGATGGTTGTATTTATTCCAAGGGTTCCTTACATGCAGCTGGACATCAGAGTATTGACAAGCTAGATGTCAGATGTGGGTAGCAGATTTGCATCTGGAACCATTTTTCCAACCAACTCATCCAGCCATTCCTTGTCTTCCCCACTTGCCCCTCTAAATGCAGCCTAGTCAGGAAATTTGCCCAGTTTTGCTCATATTTGCCTAACCACAGACATTTCATGGCCTGGTGTCTGAGAGGACTGCTTTCCTGCTGTATGGCAGGTAACATGTGACACTCTGCCTGTGGGTGTTCACTGGGAGCCCAGGGAAAGAAGGAACCCTCCTCCCTTCCTAGTACCCAGGGCTCCCTGGAGAGCTAGCCAGTCCTCAGTGCTCAGCTCCTCACTCCTCAGCTAGCCACTCCTCAGTGCTGAGGTGGAACTTGCCAGCCTGTGCCCTTCTTCACAGCACATTTCATGCCAACCCTGTCTGCATTTGGGTACCTGCTCTGCCACTTGTGTGGAAGGCAAGGGATTCACTGGCTTATCACCTCCTCTAACTACCTCCTTTGTATTCTTCAGAGCATAAAATACCATGAATTGGCAAACACCCTTCCCCAGGGGCGTGAGAGGAACACCCTGTTAGCAGCATATTCCTCCAGGACTTCTCCTCAAGGGTCTTCCAGTTTGACTCACCTTTTAAAGGTCTCAAGAAATGAAAGAAGAAATATTACTATTCACAATTGAATTCAGAGTGGTCCAGTGGTAGTGGGGTACATGTGGCACCAGCAACAGGACTCAGCTACTCTCTGTTGGCTACAGACTAGTGAAGGAAGAGATGTCTGGGCTACATTTGCCCCCTTCTCAGAAACACCAGGGAACATTAGAAAGGAACCTCTTACAGGCTGCAGTCACCCTACAACCACCAGTCAGTCAGCAGAGATCTCATCCACAACACTTTTACTTTCTTTTACCAATCTTAAAGGTTTGGACAGAATTTATTCTGAACTACAGCATGGTTGGCCACCATCAAGTGGACGATGCTACCAAGAAGAACAAGACATACAAAGGTGTTGGTTTCACAACAGTGTTCAGATGTTTCCAGACACCAGGATTGTAACTCAACAGAGTTGTGTGGCCACCAATTCATGGTTCAACATGACATCCATGCTCCTCATGCTGCCAAGAGCAATTTACCTAGCTCTAGAGCATTCAATCTGTTCTCAGTGAACAGAGAGAACTTTGCACGTCACATCTCCTCCTACAAACCCTCTCAAAACTTCCACTGACTCCCTGGGAGCAGAGCTAGGTACACTGATTCTCCACACCCACCATGCAGCTGAAAAGCGGCACACACTGCACAGAGTTGTTCTTATTGCTCAACAAGACGGATGCCTACGTGAATAGTAAGAGGCCAGCAAATATGGATCACAGGTCTGCTTTGGCAGATAATTTGGCCTATAATTATGACTGATTGAGTGTACAAAAACATACTGCAGTTTAAAGACAACATACTTTAGTACAATCAATAGGGAGAAAAAGTGCATCTTAAAATGTGGAGCCTTGCTTTTGAAACTCAGCATCCTGTCTAGAGTCCTGTGAGAACTTTAAGGCAGAGTTTCCTGTAGCAGACCACAATGCTGAAGACTTGGACAGCTTTCTCAGTGAGGTATCCAAATGAAGCCCTATAACTGAGGCTCTGTGGGTTCTTGAGGGTCCATTTTCAGCTGGACATACGCAATGGCTGTTAAGTAAAGGCACTCTAGTGTACAGCCTTAGGCAGTGTGTTATTGGCAGTAGGGAAGTGTAAGTTTAGTACATCACAGCAGATCCTATAGCAGGTTCCTAGAACAGAGAAGGACAGGAAAGAAAACATGAATGAAACACAAAACAAGCTTGCTGAAGCTCTATAGAGCCAGGTCCTTCCCCTTCTCATATATCCAGTGCCAGACTGCTTCAGAACAATCAGTTTTTTCCCTTTATCCCTATATGGCTGCTATAGAAGAAATGATTGACAGCTGTCTAGTGAAGCCTATTTGTTCAAATCCTGCAGAGCAATACGTGGCCTAACTACCCCTTAAATCCACTTAGATAACATTGGAACATTTCTTAACAATTAGTGAGAATCAAGGTGACTCTCACCTGCAAGTTACAGTGTGCAGCTGGTTCTGTGAGGGTCTGTTTCAGAAGTCTGAATTGCAGGGGAACACTAATTTATTTATTTTTTTAAAAGTAAGGGTAGCACATTCCTGGAGAGCTGGCAGCCAGGTACATTTTCACAGGCTGACATTCAGGAGCTGCTATACTATGGTGTACATCTTCCAGGACACTGGTCAGATTTCCTTAGAGCTGCCTCAGCAGTCTCTATTTTTTTTTTCCTCAAACTATCAAGAGATGTTTTGTGAAGATGCTGAAATATAGCTGCCTACACACATACTGCTATCTCTCTATTTACTGCTTTTAACAGAGTTTTAAAAACATTTGTTTACCATTAAGTCCTTGGCAGTGCTTTTCCTCTCTTTAGTTCTTTGTGTTAGAGATCCTTGAAGCATGAAGTTTCTGTTAAACGTTCTGACAGTGGTAACTGGAGAACCATCTATTGTTTCACCTGAGAAAGACACAAAAAGGGAGATTTTTCACATAAGAGATTGAAGCAGATGTAAAAGTACTTACGAAGAGTCACAGCTTCCAGAGAGATAAAACCTCCCCTAAGATGTATGAGGAAAGCTGGATTTAATTTAAATTAAAAACAGCAGGCTGTGGTACTCCAAATTTATTAAAGTTTGAGGCTATGTCAATCTGTGGAATTACAAAAGAGTAATGCAAGGTGAATTGGGTCCTAGAACTGTCAGAGATAACGCACCATGGGGCTAAAAAAAAAAAAAAAAACAAAAGGAGAAAACAGAAAAAAAGCACTTTATTTTATAAAGCAAATTCACAGCCATTGCATAACATACCAGGAACATTGCTGAGCCACATCATATGGACTGAAATTAGCAAACACAGGCTTTAAGAAAGTGGTGGATTGTGGAGGGTGGCCATTGGCTTTTGGTCACTGTGATCACTTGGGTGTCACAAACTAACCCCACGTATGCTGGAGGGGTAGCATGCCTCTTTCAAGTATTCAGCATTCCTCAGCATTTCTTTTTCCAGCCTTCTGCTTTTGTTTTTATTTTTTTGCCACTGTCACAACTCTCACTGAAGAGAAAGTGGTGATGTTTTTTAATATGACAAATGGGTATATTGTATAATGCAAGTACAATGGAAAATGAGGAGGATGGACATATTTAGGCTTTGATTTTGTAACACAATCTTTCCCCTACTTTGCTGAACCATACATTATATCGAACCTTATAAAGAGAGTCTCTCTCTCTAATGTACATAATAATTGAAGCGCACCTTTTATTGGTGGAGCTGGAAGTTTTCTCCTCTGCTGTCTTGATGTGTCTATTGTATGCATCTGTAAATAACACATATGCATTACTCAACTCCATTATAGAAAAAGAGGCAAGATTTCCCCAATGTATTTTTGAATACTACATAATGTTCTGGCACCTGGTTTGTTTGCTTTTGATCCCGTTTCCTTGTCAGGCGAACACAGGGAGCCACGTTCAAGCCTGCAACAGTGAGAGCTGATATTCTGCTCTCAATATCTGAAATCTTCAAAGAAAATAAAAGAGAGAGACAGACAGATGGGGAGGGGGGAAAAGAAGTTTTAAAATTACTGTGGATGCCACTACTAAAATATAACCCTCCCCCAGTCAAATCCTCTTTATTAAAAAAATATAAACAGGTGGCTAACTTCTTCAGCAATTCTGACACTTCCCTGAATTCTTTAGTCTTGATGTTAAAAGGGGCTTAATTTGTTAGTAAAGATGGAGTAAAAGAACAATCCAACCTACCTTGTGAATCCAAGGAAGAGGCATTTTACTCCTTTTGAGGAAAAAAAGAAAGGAGGAGAGAAAACCTGCATCTGCCATCTCCCAGTTACCTTTAGCTGCATAATCACAATTTCATTCAAACTGTGTTTTTCAAAGGCTACATTCAAAGAATGACTTCATGGGACACATTTCCTAACTCAAATTTAATTTCATGCAAAGTACATCCTCTGTCACAAAATCTAAACATTTGATCTTACATATTTATAATTTAAATGTATATGTATATCAAGCACAAACATGCAGGCACACACTATATAAAAACACTGAATGGAAACTAAATTGCTTGGGAGAAAGTAGTCTGATATTGGGAGTAATGGAAAAAAGTGTTGACAAAAGGGAAAAAAGTATCAAAGAAGTCAGACATATATAATCTGAATCCTGATTCACAACACCTGAAGCTGTTCATTCTGCAGAAGACCTTCCATTGGCCTCTTTGCCATCCTCCTTGCATAGCTTAGGCCTCTCTCCTCCTCACTGGTCACCTCCATTAACAGATTTATAAAATAATGACCAAAGCCAACAAAACATCACTGCCAGTTTGCCAACTAGTGTGACAATGCACTTCTGGCATCAGGGAGAAGTCAGACTCTCAGATTATTGCTCAGTCCTGAATTGAGCATGCTTCTGTTGAGTAAAATCATCAGCTACTTCCTATTAGACCCTGTCACAGGCAGTTCAGGGTGTCCCGCTGGATACAGACCGGTCAGTGAAATCACTGACAGTGACCTGCAAGCAGTGTCAGAACCCTGAGGTCTGGCAGCATTACCTTGTTCAGCTTTTAGCACCAGATCACGATGTGTTCTGAGCCCTAGAACTTCTGGAGCCTGCTAGAGTGATGCTAGATTGCATCCCACAAAAGCTAGTGCCTTTTGGCTGGGATGTGTGCTGCTTAGCGCCTAAACCCCAAGGTAGGCTTGCAAGTGCTAGGCCCTGTGCTTGGCTCAGCCTCTGACTGGCATTGGCCTTTGTCAATAGAAAGCTGCCAACACTGGTTTCTTTTGGGAAGTGCTTTACAATTTGCTGATTAGATAAACTGCCTGCCTATGACTGTATTTGCAGCCTGACCACAGCCACACACATGACACAGAGCGCACCACGTGAGCTGCCGGGCAGCAAGGAGTTGTTCGGTGTTAGCATTGCAATAACAGGCTGCTGCACTCCCATGTCCAAAAATAAGCTGAGGGAAGAAACAAACAAACAGAGTACATCTGCCTGGGCTGAGTTACACATCTCAGTTATGCTTTGCTCAGCTCATGTGATGCAGTCAGCATCCTTAAATCATCAGACTGCTGCAGTACAAAAGAATATTCAAAGCAAGTGTGTGCAGTGAGGTGAGTGCTAGGCAAGGCAGTGGGAAAACTGCAGATAGGGAGGAGCTGCTGTCCTCACCTGAAGCTCTGCATGATGAACCTGGGCAGCTGCTGTGGCCACCTGATCCTCCAGATCGGCCAGCTCAGATTCTTCAGTAACACTGTTGATCTTGCGTGCGGCGTCTTCCAGGTTGGTCAGCTGCCCCTCCAGCCCGTACACCGTGCTGGCTGTCAGGTACACCTGCAGGGCCAAAGCAGGGAGAGATGTCAATGTTTTGTGGGCATGGAGGTTTGATCAGACTGCATTTTCCATGATACCTTTGAGTTTCCCTGCTTGCTAACCCACTACAGGGAGATTTACCTGGCAGAAGAAAGGCATGGGGGAATAATCTGAAACACACATGCCCACAAAGAGAAGGGAGGAATGAGGTGGCTGCATTACAAATTTCATAGGTGCTACAATGGTATTCCAAAACATATTTGTTCCAGATTGACCAGCAAAGAAAAAAGTTGAAAAGTTTGCTTTTTCATTATTGATATTCAATTGCATAACAAACCCCCTAAGTCTATAAGGGAAAATCAACAGATCATGCCTCATATAAAGCTGCATTTATTAAAACATGCCTAATGCCTTCTGGCAATCAAAGGTGCATGAATAACTGTTCAGCAGCACATAATTACTAACTTCTTATAGTCTAACTGTGCTTACATGTATAACAGTTTTCCTTCCCATACTGCTCTCACCCAAATATGCAGCAGCCAAATCCTTCCCACCTCCTGGGCCTTTTAGTGAATCTTTGGAGGATCAGTAGACTTATCCGGGCCAAATAAGACAGAATTACTGACTTGCTAATTTAGAGTTCTTCTCTAAAAACAAACAACTTTTAATATTTTGATCCACCTAGGACACCTATGATAACTACAGCTAAAGGTTTCATTTTCCATTCAGCTCCTCAGAGCAATAATTCACGATATACCGCATTTTATTGTTTCTTTTATTTCACAAAGAAATCTAAGGTACACAGCTGGATGGAGGTCTCTGGCGCTTAGAAAAGGGTAATTTTCAAGCATTAACTTTTGACATCTGTGCTTAAGACTGCACAGAACCATGTGAAAATACTGTACTTTCTGCCTATTTACTAGTTAGCCAAGAGATTGTTTCCATGAGGCTGGTAACAGCACAGTGGAAATGAAATATATATTCTGATTTTCCACAGTGGCAGCCTCGCTAACTGTAACAGCAGTAAAGACTGTGTTGCTACAAATGAATTAAACATGTTCTATGCTCCACTTTATTGTTCAGGGGGCAAGCAAACAGAATCTAAAGCAGATCTTTGAGCTGATACCTTCATTTCATACATGTTTTTCACTCCAGTCATTGTATCTGCCCACAATTCCTAGATCATGCAGTCCTTTGACATAACAGGTATTCAAACAATTTCTGGCCATGCTGTGACTTTATGGATCAAAAGGACTGAAGAATGACCAGATTAAAATTTAATCGTTTACTTTCTATTATTTTTCTATTTCATTATTGTTTCTTAATTGCTTGCAAAAGTGTTTTTTTCCTTTGTATCAGTTGTTTCAAGGCATAAATGTAGATAGGTTTTTTTCATGCGTGTGATTTTCCTAAGAAACAAATTCACTATATCTGTACAAATTGCATCTTGTAAGAACACAGGCTAACTGCAGGCATGAAATCTTTGGAAAACATACCTAGAACAAATAAGTAATCTCATTTAACATTTTTGCTGAGTACTTGGAGACACAGGTGGTCCATAAAGTTAACATGCTGATTTAAATAGAAACGATCCTGTTTTTGTGGGTTGTAATTATTCTTCCCATTCATTTAAATGATACATCTTTGTGGTATGACATACCACAGGTACTTCAGATTAAAAGGCAATTTTCTAAAAATTTCTCTGTCACATCTAAAAGCTTAGAGAAAGAAGAAGAATAAACATTTTGAACAGAAGCATCTTTAGAAAAGTAAAGAAAATTTGCATTTAAATGCTATACCAAAAATCTCTGCAAAGTAAGACGTACTTTTCAAGAGGGGAAAATATCTAAAGAAAGTAGAACTGATAGAAAAATGTGGGAAAGGAAGGTCGTCAATGTTTCTGTAACTCGTTCAGTCCCTACCTTTATTAAATTTTAATGAAACTTTTCCAGCTAGATCTAAAGAAAAGATTTTTCTAAAGAATATTCTCTTTATCTGAACAATTGGTGCAGTTCCCAACAGCAATGGTGTCCTTGCAGGACTCCCCTAAATGATGCCCTTATTTATACATTCACATTCAGATGGTGGAAATTTATTTTACCGCCATTTCTGTACAGCTTCCACTAAAACCCAACCTTGTGTGGGTAGAGGTGGCCCTACATTCTCCACACTAATGCATGCATAGTCTCCAAAACAGAGAGAGCAAAAATGAACAGTGTCTATAACACCCAGATCCTCTTCCAGAATTTGCTGCAAAGATGATGTGCTGCATGTAGATCTGGCTCCAGCTGCAATGGGAAAAGTTATGGATTCCTGAACTTCTAAAGGCTCTTTAACTCTGCCATGGAGTATGGTGGTGAAATTTTGAAGCTGAGAAGTTTTTGCCACCTACTTCATGTCCCATGTGTGACAGAAAGATGTACTGTGGGGACATAGGAAGGCTAAATTGGATACCTTATGAATTCTGCAGGGAGCTGAGAAACATGCTGCAGTGAGGGCAACACCAAAGCAAGGAATGCTCTGCCTCAGTGCCTGCTCTCTGCTCAGTGAGAAATGCTTGACCCAAATGAACCACTAGGGGCCACAGCACCAGAGATGCCAAAGCTCGATACGGATGTGAGGGATTGTCAGAGTGCAAGTATGTGTGGGGGGAAAGCATCTTAAGATTGTTTACAACACAGTTCCCTATAGAAAAAAAATGTAGGAGCAGATTTTCCCAAATTGCTCTCTGTACTGCAGAATTTCTTAGTTTTTCTAAAGATGTGGTCCAGCCTGGACTTGTATTTTCATTCCATATTCACTCTCCTGCCAGATGAATTCTGTGGTGTTTGGAGCTAGGACACTTTAGTATTTCACGGGAGAGAAGAATCTCCATCTACTCATCTACTTCCATTATTCTGAAAAAAATTAACTAAAGTTAGCTAGAAGTTGCTGTTAGGGCGCATCTCTCATGTAACAATGACATAGATATCATGGTAGGTGGCACAAGGAAGGCACTTTGCTTCCCACAAGCTCAGGTACACCCTTCTCCAGGCACTAGAGCAGCAACTGCTATGGGAAGCCTTTATCATTCTGCAGAGGGCCATATCTGAGCTGCCAGACATCCAGCCTCTCCTGGGCACATCCTGCTCTCCTGCTCTCTCAGCCCCACTGGGGAGGGCTTCCAAGCCTATTTTGCTTGTTTGTTTTGAATTTTCCTCTCAGAGAGGGGCCAGGAGCAGGGCCACTGCATGGAAAGCTCCATGGTGGGGCAGGTTCAAGTGGCTCTGGTGCCCCATGAGGGAGGGCAGGAGATGCCAGCACCCAGGACAGCATGTGGGAGTGAAAAGGAGCAGGAGCACCTCAGCTGACACAGTGAGATGCCTGGGAAGGTTGAGCAGAGGTGGCAAGGAGAGGTTATAAAAATGGATGCATAAAAATTTCCAATGAGTAGTGACTTCCCCCTAAGATTCAGCACTGTACTTTCTCTTGCAGATGGCAGGGACTCATGAAAAAGGATGAATCTGGATGTGGCCAAACAAAAGTTTGTTTAATTCAGATTCTCCAGCCTACTTTCTAACAGTGTAGCAAGGAGCTCCAGCTCCCTGGGTACTCAGCACAGTGTGCTGGGGATGTGTGGAATGAGGAAGAGCTTCTCCACTTCTCTGTGTGGCTGGGGACATGCTTTCCCCACCTACCCTTGGAATAATGAGGTTGTGCTGAGACTGGGAGACGTGTGGTTTCAGCCAGGCATGGCACAGCTGCACAGCCACAGAGATTCGGAGGGCTTAAGTTAACTTTTGAGATAGAGATTCTATATTTAGTTGTAAACACCAAAGCATCCAACTTCCCCTCCCCACAATATTTTAAGGTATGCATAAACCCACCAACACAGCTAAGAACCTGTTGAAACTGGATTTTTTGTTCTGTTTGTATATTTGTTTAATAACCTCAGATTAATTTTGAACATCCACTGATGCTGCTTGTGTGTTCAAGTTGGTACGTACACATAGGCACAATCACTCACACATGTGACTCTTTCACATACTGGCTCATGTTCTTACATTTTCTTCCAGTGTGGTGAGCTGCTCATCAAGTCTGACAGGGTCTGTACCCAGTGGGAGGGTCCCTCTTCCTCTGTCCTGAATGTCATCTGGGAAATCACAGGGATCGGTGGATTCTGCTATTAGTTCTTCAGTGGCATTGATGACTTTCAGGACTTCTGTAGATATGTTGCAGAGAGAGACAGCAGAGTACTTCTGTTTTGTTTACAAGAGCAGACAGAGAAAACAATAGCATTAAATTAGCACAGAGGGGTAAGATATAAATCATCTTGCTAATAGCCACAGCTTTAGCCATGCTAAAACCGTATCCATGGCTAACTGCTTCGAACAGGCACAAGAACCATCTAATGGTATTGTAATCTACTTCTCTTTTCCTCCCTCCCTTTTTCACATATGCACACTGCTACAGCATGCAAAATAACATACACATGCAGTTCTTCTACAAAAAAACTCTACAGGAGGGATGGTCCAAATCTTATCCCAAAGGAGCACACAAATATCCAGCTTTAAAATCCAAATGAGCTAGATAAAGCTGGTTTTGCAATAGTGTTTTAAACAGGTTTTAAAACACAGTTTTCCTTTTTGGATACTGGCAAACAGATGTCTGTCATCTGGAATCATCTGTCTCTGTATCCCCAGGAGCTATTGCATTGCAGATGCAAACATGGGACAGCGATCTTCAGCAGCCCTATGAGGACAGCATTTTGCTAAAATGCTTGCTATGAATTAAATGATCACCCCAAATAACCATAATTTGAGCTATAAGTGTGTAAACACTTGTATCTTTGTTTTTTAAAAATTTCAATTCACCTTTTTAAAAAAAATATTTATGAAATAACATATCAAATATGAAGGAAAAGCATGCAGCTTTATCCATTTTTTGAAACAACTGAAAACGTTTTTATCATTGTTTCTTACTTGTAATTTGTAATTAACTGTCCTGATTCTGATTCTCACATAGCCTTAAGCTTCAGGACAACTTCCGATGGCAATAAAATTTCATATGATGTATCTTCAAGCACCAGGCTCAACATCCAAACTATACAGCTCGGAGATTGAGCCAAAGCTTGTCAAAGCCAATACAAATACTGTCACTGAATATATGTGCAATTCCTTTAGTGCTGCTTTGCCTAAAAGAAAGTGTGGGAAATTTAGACCAAAATTTAATTAATTCCTCAAACCTGCAAACACTTATGCATGTGAATTAAGGGCCCAACCATCTGTAAATTTTCTCACAAACAAAATATCTGCAGATCCATATTGAGGTAACAGACAGTCTTTGGATTCTATGTAGTAAATTATATAGTGCAGGAAAGTATAACTGATTAAAAATATCTATAGGCAGGATATAGGAGAAATAACGGTCATTTGATTCCCCCAAACTCTGGTGGGCTAAACTGGAAAACCTCTTTTATCTCTTTCCTTTAATCAGCTGTCTGTTTTTATGTTAGATAAGACTTTCACTGACAAACTACTTTTTTAACAGTAGGTACTCAATTGTTGTGTATCAAGACATTAAGACATCTTTAGCAATGTACCTTCTCTGAATTACAAGAAATAATTAGAAACATGAGATTAAAGAGAAGAAGAACAAGGCAAATACAGTATGCTACAGCACTCAGACCTTTAGCTTGTTAGGACAGCCAACAGAGCCCTGAACAAGCAGGCCTAGGACTCTCTTGCTGAGAAAAAATACTTGAACCCCATAAATAGCCTACTGTTTTTTCCATTTATTTTCACAAGAGCCAATTAGGTTAAAAACAGATCAATAATTTTATAGGACAGAAGAGGAAATCAATGTTACTTTGTTTTATTATTTGCTTCTACAAGTACCTGATTCTTATTCTATTCTGTGAGTAGTGGAAAAAAAAGGATAAAGGCCAGACACTACATTTTCTTCATCATCTTTACTGATGTATGTTCTCCATTTCATGAACTGTAGCCTTACTCTAGTGTTCATTATTTCTTAAATTTTTATTATCCTTTGTAGTTAATGATGGATTTCAAAAAAATATTAAATTAAATTAGAAAGAAGTGGTTTTATACCAGAATACGAGAATACATATTGGCATTTTTACAGACTAGTTACTACAAAAGAGTTTTTTTTGTTTTCCAGGTAAAGTGGTCTGTGATAGAAATCTTTGTGAAATCAAGATTTTGAGTAAAAAATACCCTACCTTCTCAATAGGTAATGGATAGAGGAAAAAAAGCTCAACAGGAAAGAACAGAATAAAACAGATTATTTTTCATTTGGAAGATGATCAATGATCACCTAGTCCAGCCACCTGACCAATTTAGCGTTGACCAAAAGTTAAAGCACATTGTTAAGGACATTGTCCAAAAGCCTCTTAAACACTGACAGGTTTGGGCATTGATCACCTCTCTAGGAAGCCAGTGTTTGATCAACTCAACAGTGAAGAAATGCCTCCTGAAGTCCAGTCTAAACCTCTGCAGGTGCAGAAATGTGATTTTTAGTTTTTCTAGAATTTGGAGGTAAGTTCTTAGTGGCAGACACAGTTCCATTTTTAAAACTGAAGATTTGCTTCCCATTAAACACTGCATAAGGCAACTAGATGAATGTTTTTAAAGTGTGGGCATCACTGAATGTATCTCAATCCCAGCCTGCAAGTATCTAGACACAGGAGTCACAACATTAAAGCTTTTTAATGTAAGCTTGTGAAACATCTGCTTTTAAAGTATAACAAAGATACAGGACTAGAGTTTAAACACTGAAAAGAAATACATGGCAAGCAAAATTGATTTTCCTTAGAATACATCTGGAGAGTAGGTCTCCCAAAACTTAAGACCACAAGCAATATTTCAATGTATTTAAATCTAACATTTGTGAAAATTTTCTGCTAAAAGGTATTTAGAATTCAGCTGTACCTGGGCTGTATTTTACAGAGAAGCAAGAAGAGATTAATATCTCCCTGAGGGAAACATAAAATCAACACGTAGGGAGTTCAAGGGTTCTCAAATTGGAAAGACTGGATATTCAGTTAATGGTTTTGCCTGCTTTTTAGCCTCTTTTTTGAGCAACTGTCAAAAGCTGTTAAAACAGCTCATGTTCCAACATGGTCAGTTTGCAAATCTAGTGGGGTACTCTAGATATAATTACTTAACACCTGTAAGGGGAAAAAACCAAAATAAATTAAAAAAATAATATAAAAAATAAAACATGTCCCAGGTTTTAGTACTTCACAATCCTCTCCCCACTCACCTATGTCAATCTTAGGATTTATGAGGTCATATAAAAATCACCTAAAATTCACAAGCACACGCACACCAAGATCATCCTGGTAGGTGGACATTTCAAATTGCTCTAAAGACTTCTTGGCTAATTTGTCTTGCCCTTGCAGGAAAGGTCATTATTAACATGTCTAAGTGATTCAGAAGGACAGCTGTCACGCCATGATCAAGACTTTCCTTGTCAAGCAGGTCAGAGAACTAATAGGGATGTGGTAGATGTAGGAAGAAATCTCTATTACAAATATCTAGCACAGAAAAGCTAAATGCAACCATTGTTCTTGAAACACTGATTTCAACAGTGATACCCTACTTCTGAATTAACACCAGTCCTCCCCAATCAAATCAATTCAGCAGATCCAAATTTGAATGTTTCTAGTAATTATGAGAATTTCATTTTTTTTACTGAATTCGAGACTAAGAGTTTAATGAAATGAGGAAAACATGCATTTATCCTTTTTGTGATAATTAATGTCCATAGTCACAAATACATTAAAGACACAGTCAAAAGGAGATGCTCAATTTCCCTGAGTTCTTTGTGGTTGATTTTTAAAACCAATGAAATAATAAAAAAGTGTGTGTATGCAAGCACATATACATATATGTGTGCATTGAATATAACAAACATCTTGGAAAACTTCTTTACTGTCATTTCTGTGTGTGATTTGACAGATGGAAAGGATTCTTGTTCTGAGAAGATTGTGTTTCAGTGGTCTAAGCTACCTCTTGCTGACTATTAGCCACTTCCCCTTCCTTTCTGCTGTCTTTCTTTCCTTTTCCTGCTGATGCTGCCAATATTTCCTTTGTTGTTTTACTCAAGCATGCTACACTGGAAGGTGCTTTATAGACTATTCTTTTATATTCTTGCACAAAGGATGATGAGTAACTGAAGGACAGCAGGATGATAAAATGAAAGCAATGTAAATATCCAAACTGCTACAAGTTTGTAGATACAAGGGGAACATTAAGTCCTCGTATGCATCTCAGCAGCCTAGGACATTTTCACATCATTTCCTTAGCATGAACATTATTGCTTTTTTTTTTACTGCTCTTAAAATAGTGAAGTTCTCCATCACTTGCACTATTTTTTTCTCCACATTGCATTTTCTCTTTTTCTGCTACTATAACATTATGTCATCTCTAGGTTCCTTTAAACTGGCATGGGAGGCAGTGACTTGCAATTCAACAGAGAGCAGTGACAGCAACAGTTAGATCAAGAAGCAGAGCAAGAACACCTTTCCATCACTGGCAGCCCTGGCATATTGTCCCCATTCTTGATTACTTGTGGTGCAATCATTTTTATCTCCAGTCTCAAGGCATTATATCACGCTCTGAGTCGCGTGCCTGTTGTGCAGTTGATATCCCCCATTTTTTCGTAGGGAGTTGAGGGGTGCTGGGGAGGAGTCAAGTTTTGCTTTGCCACTGATTAATTTGTCCTTTCAGAGTAACCTGACTGAATCCAAGCCTGATGACAACGAAAGTAAATCCCCAAACCTGCCTCCCTCATCTCCCCACCCTATGGGAGTTCACTGTACAGCTTTGAGAAGGCCCTGAAAAGCCCAACAAAAGTCCTTCACAGGCAAGCAAGGTCTGAGACACAAGTCACAGTGTGGGAGGAACAGAGACATCAGTGTCCAGCTGCCTGTGGCAGTCATCAACCCTGACCTTCAAAAGATCTTTTTCCTAAAAGTGAGCTGTAACCACTCATTACCACAAAGACTGTGGGGTAAAAAAAAAGCTAAAATTTGCCTTGATATTTGATGGAAGACAAGTATACTATGATAAACTGTGATATTAAGGAATTACTCTTCTGTGCAAGTTTAAGACTTCTGGTCTTGACCTTTAATGTCAATATCTTCATTTATGGGCACTCTTTTACAAAAATAATTATCTTACAGACTGAGAGCTATTATTCTAGTGACATTCTCCAAAGTACAACACAGAGAAATACAGCCTCTCTTTGTGCTAGGTGGCTGTGAATATTATATTTTTACTAATTCAATCCACTATCCTAATGTAGTTACAGATGTTATGCCTATTAATTTGTAATGCCTTATTTCTAGAGACAAGTTGCCTATAATCATGGGAAAGGAAGTGATTTTCCAAGAGGTGAAATATTATGGGCTAAGTTGAAAATGGATATATTTACATTATAAAATCCACAATGGACACAGGCTGATGACATTGCACAAATGGAAAAATAATTTCACTTTAAAATCGCCCTCGATATTTTTACAAACTAAGACCAAGATAATGAAAAGATGATTAAAATTCATAGAACAGAATTTAAATCTGAGAGTAAGGAAAAAAGAAAAAGTTAAAAGGAGAAGTGGTTTGCTAAATTAAGCATCAACTTTTGACACTAAAAAGTGATTCTTATTTTATGATGGAGAGAATGATATATGACATGCTAAAAACAGCATATATTTTAAAATATAAGCATATGTTTGCTCAGGGAATATAATGAAAATCTGTTTTAATATCTGATCCTCATAACCTGAGACTCAAATAGCATAGAATATGAATTCTCTTTCAATGTAGAAGAATGATAAGCAACAGACACTAGCAGTAAAGTAAAAAAATATCTACTCACCACGTACAAACTCTACAATGAATTAAGGGTTTTGATTTTTTTTTTTAAATTGGGATCTTAGAAAGATTTTTGAAGACCGCTATGGTCAGAAAATTTCCTTCCAGATTTCTTAATACAGGTGAGTACATGAGAACAGAAAGATCATACACCTTATCTTTGTCTTGTGTTCTTCTCTACTGATAAAACCAAATTCTCATCACAAAAACAAACAAGAGAGCCAGTCTGCTCCACATGTTTACTTCATGCTCATTGCTCCCATCATAATATATGGCTAGATGTGATTATAAAGTAATTTTCTGCAATGATTATTGATTGTGGCCAAAAGGTATGATTTTTCAGGCCTGATATTTTCAGGAAAACATTTTGAGTTTGAGAATGTTGGTTGGGAAATGTGGAAACCCTCAATATCACTTCATGGCATCTCTTACTACATAAGAGATGTAAGAAGACATAGACAAAACAAAGCTTTCTCACCTGCTGCAATACAGTGGATAAAAACTGCAGCTTTAAATGAAGATCAAAAGCCTTTTGTTTTTCCTAAATAGTGGGAAAGCAGTTAAATAAAAAGGCAGAAAAGTTACATTAACAGCTACAGAGGTTAACATTTATATAGGTTAAGAGTTACAGGGAACTTTAGGATAAACAACAAGGATAAAGAAACTACCAAGAATAAAATACCATAAAATTTAGGTTTTACATTTATTAGTAATATATTTAAAATAAAGCAATGCCTAATTTATTTTTATTTGTGGGATTTAGAATAAAAGACTTCATTAAGACAGATATTGCAAATCACACATGAAGCAGATGGAAAATAGTGATTTCCACCATCACAAAACAAAGTGGCACTAGCAATGGAAAAATACTTTTGCAGCAGAAGAATAAAAGCCAGCTATCTTCAATTTTGGGGTCTACATGATTCCAAGTTGGACACTGTGGTATTCCTACTTACAAAAGGGTCTGTACCTCACTTAGGCTACAGTCAGATGCTAATGTGGGAAACACCTGGGCTAAATTAAGTAAGATGTCTTGTGCCAAATCACTTCCTACTGTTTGCTGCTGTCCCTCTCCTGGACTCACTGTCCCAAAACAAACAAGTAAAACCCTTCAAAGTAGTACTCTTCAGTGACCAGTCAGTAGGCTTACCATAATCCCCCTAATTTACATAGGCCTGTTTAAATTAAACTGACTGGTTTTGCCTTGAAATAATGATGAAACCACAGTTACCCTGTTGGCTGTGCTGGGACAGAAGTATCTTCCAGCTGAGAAGCAGCATTTCCTTGAAACTCTTCCAGCTATATCTGAAAGACCTCAACTTTCAGTGCCAAGTCTCTGGGCAGCTTACAGAAGAAGACAAGAAAATAGTAATTTTTTTGTTCCAGTCTATTTTCCCACTATTTTTTCCAGCAGCTTACACCAGTCTTCACTGATTTTCTGCAACTGTACCTGAAAAATGGCTGGTACATTTTCTCCCTAAGTAAATAAATATTTGGTGATCAGAGGACTGAAGGAGATTCCCCTTGCATGCATACTGGACAGAGCTGGCTTGGGTGTTCATGCATGTAAGTATCAAAATTGAGACTATAGAAAGAATGCTTGACAAAGACACTGCATTCCCCGTGTGAAGCCAGCTGAAGTTTCACCAGAAGTTTCTACTTCTCCTGGTAGATTCCACAGGGCTTTGATTCAGTCGCTCAAACACAGACAAAGTGCAATTTGAAACAGCTTGAAGTATGTGAGGATTTTGAAACAGCACTGTCAGATATGACATGGACCTGGGAGCTGCATTTTTGCTTTGGATTAGCAGCTTAAGGCCCTGTGGGACACTCTGAGGCATCTCAGATGGTCTGTCTACATCACTGTTTATGGAACTATATTGAGCCCAGAAAGTGTCAGAATTGAAGGACCACAAACATCACTGCTCACTTTTGAAAACTTTAAAAAAAATAAATGCTTGTGGTCTCAATTCTTGAAACCGAAGACTCAGATTTTGACAAAATAAACTTAGGATCAACTTCATATTTCATATTAAAGAGTGATAACTAATACATGGGAGAAACATCTTAAATGGGATTTTTATCCAGCAAACCACTTAATCCTCAGTTTAGAACTGAACATATACTTGACTGCTTTCTTAAATTAAGAACTTAAAACTTTGGATCTACTAGCCCAATTTGAAGATTATTGTATCATACCTCTTTTAGACAAAAAAGCCACTGTTTCACCTTTCTGAACCAAAATCTTTTTTTTCTCTGCTGTCATTCAAAATCCTGTGCATAGATTATCTGCAGTTCATAAACCTTAGAGATCACTTTTTACAATGATGCCGACATTCAGTTTTCAACCCTGGACTTTGGGAGACTGCCCGGATAATTAACATAATCTTAAAAGCAATGATCCATGAAAACACAAGAATTAGTCTGAGCACCTTGCATACAAAAATGTGAAACAAAAGACACATAAATATCTTCTAAGCTGTTAACCCAGGAAGATATCACTGTACTACATTTTTCAGCATTATTGTCATATTGGTAGCAATGTAGTAAAGCTACTATACTTACACTATCATGTTTTCTTGCTTAAGAGATCCATGTGGTTCTGACTCCTTTAGGAACTTTTACTCAGACACTTCTAAAGCTTCCAGCATATGAAGCTGGATGGCAGTTTCCTATTAACCCCTGCCCGGACCAACAAACCAGCCAAAATAGCCAGGAGTTCAGGGAGTTGCAAGATAACGATCACAAAAACTACGGCATCATGCTCTTTGAGGGCAGTGCATGCACCGGCACAAATGACTAACAGAAGTCCAGCCACCAGGACACACAGGCTCAGTCTCGTTATTTTAGTACTGCTGTAGGGTGTAACATTACCCTACTGTGATGCTTTAACAGGTCTGTGATACACAGGAGAGATTCACTGATGTGCATGTCCAACACCATTCTCCAGCTCCATCAAGGCTGTGAGCATATACTACTCCACTGACCAAGTCCCATGAGACCTCCCTTACCTGACCTCCCTTCCTGAGCCCTGGCCACCCTCTCCAAGGCCAGCTCCAGGCACAGGCACCAGCATACACCACACCAGGGACCTGGCTGTCTCTGCTGCTGCCGTAACATGCACCCACATGCACAGCTACTGGCTACTGCTCTTGCTAAAGAGAGAGGCCAGGCAGACTTTCTAGCAAGTGTCAATCTCATTATACCAGTAGCTGTACAGTGCTAATTTACCTGGTGAAAAATGAAAGATGTACTTGGATCAAAGAATATAGGCCTCTGGCACAAATGCACATTAAAATGTTGTTTGTAGTACAAACCTTTCCCAAAATAAAGCTTTATAAAATCAAAGAGAAAGAAATTTTTTCCAGGGAATGAAAGCATAAATATTTTATGGAAAGATTATTTATGCTGTTATTCATACTGTCAAGAAACTCAGGAGGTTTCACTTAGGAAACGGGATCCCACTGTGCTACTTAACAAACTCACTTAGAGGTTGTCATTCAGAAAAGAGCTACGGTGTCATATAATAATTTCAACAGACAACTACTAAGCCTTGGTTGTAAGATTCTCTGAACAGAACTAAATGCATAAGGGGATTAAATGCAAATAGGAGAGAAACTCAACGTTACTACTGAAGTTAAACTCACTTGCTCATTAGCATATCTTAAGCAAATTGTAGAACAAAGTAGAAGGAAACAAAAAGAAAAACACAAGGTTTAAACAACTAATTCAATTTTTATGCTATGAGTCAAATTGCAAAAATGGCAGGGTCTATTCTGTTTTTTAAACAGTATCTCTATAGCTTCTGATAAAGTGGTAACAGTGATAGAATGCATTCAAAACGCAGCCTGCCAAAATTGCCTTCTAGAATGTAATTCTGGCATATACTGTGAAACACAGACCCAACCTATTTATCTTCATGAAAGCATTAAAAGAGAAAGAGAATGGACAGAGGAGAGCATGAACTAAATACATCCTATTTATCATGCTTGCCATTCTCAGGATCGGTATCATTAAGATACTTCCAAGGGGATTTACATTTTGCTTTTCTCTTCAGACATTTGTTTAGCGTTTGGGGGGAGTGAATAAAAAAGCAAAAAAATCGACCAAAACAAACAAACAAAACAACAAAAAAAATGAGCACGACAGAAACAACTGTGCAAATCATTGTGCTCGTACGAGATGTTTCACTAAGACAAAGTTGCACAAGTGTGAATTTTGGTTTGCTCACACCTAAAGTGCAGAGGAGCTGAAGGCCAACTCTGCCCTGAGCACGGCTTTGGATGAAAACCACTGCTATTCACTGCACAACTAAGACAAATGGGCTTTTCAGGGCTCTGCACACCTCTGAAAGACCATGAACTACTTCTGTAGTGTAATAACCACAAAATATTTTCCATAAAAACAAGTCTGCTGTAGGACTACGTTTGTTTTAAAACAAGAGCTGTGAATTTCCATAAGACCATGTTAGGCAATCACAAATTGAGAAATAATGAAAATGATTGTGCTGAAATCTAAGAAAATTTAAGTCTAAGCCACAAAATTAACTTGTGTTAATTAATCCCACCTAAATTCCTCAAGTACCCCACATGAACTAAATAATTAACTCAAAGGTCATCATATTCAAATTTGCATTTTAAAGGCAGACATACAACACAAAAGCTCAGTTTGAAGTGAGAACTGAGAACCTATAAATTCCCAACAACTTAAGCTAATTCTCCACTCAAGCTGTGACAATTTTTACCATTGCTTCAGATATTAATATACTAAATATTAAAAGCATCAGATTTTAAAAGCATCAGCTCAATGTGTGATTACATGATATTCCCAGCTTCCATTATAAACAGAAATCTAAATTTTTAAAGGTGCCAAGAGGTGAAAGTCAGATTTCCATGAGCACCAGGTACTTAATTTTCAACGATTCAAAAACAATAGATTTTTTTTGAAGTTTTATTCTATAGTGAGGGGTACTAGAACTAGAAATTCACAGTGATTTAAAGTTGCTAATGTGTTCCAGAATAAGCTTATGAGAACAGAAGACTAAAGAAAACAAAGACAAGCAACTTCGCTAAAATATAAGCAAGATGAGTAAAGTACAGTATTTAATTTATGTTCAGGAACACAAAGCAGATTGTAGGCACTCCAGCTCTCTTTTTAGTGGTTCAGAATTAGTGCTTCTGTATACCTAATTTGAAACTTGATGCCCAGGTCAGAAGTCTGTGACCAAGAATGCTGAGTGCTAGTCTGAAAGATCTGTAAATCCCTAGATATGCATTCTCCAAAATCAGGCTTCTTAAAGAGACAGCATATTGGGACATATGGCTCTGAAGGCATCTAAAATTACTGGTTCCCTGAAAATAGATTTTCTATGCTTGTCTTCACATGTCATCTACTCATCTTAAAGATATTGCATCTTTTATGAATTTAGCCATGTCTTTGTATTTTAGATTGTCATGATTCTTACAGCCACAACTGTTACTATGCACTGTCATCTTCAGTATTTCATTGTAAGATGTTGGTCAGCCACATTTCCAGAGAGAAGGCACGTGTCAGAAGATTTTAAATTACCTTTAAGGACAACTGTCAAGAATAAGAATGAAAGCAGCATGCTTGTTTCTCTACAGGTGGAGAAAGTTCCCCTTACAATTCCACTGAAATCTAGACCATGATGAGTACTGGGGTATTCTGGTTCCTTTATTATAGACAAAAAGAATAAATACTGTGACCATTAATGACTAAAACTTTTTTTTTAACCAAACCCAATAAAGAATCAGGAATTCTAAGCATTTCCTTTTTGCTGAACATGGTATGCCTCTTCTTTCTTTAAATTTAAGAAAATTTTATTGAGGAAAAAAATATTAATCTTTGCTTTATTTTAAATAACTGACTTGCAAATGTTAAAGAAATAACAAAATTAGAAGAGGAAAAAACCAATATTACTTTGTAGATGCATGCAGATGAATAAGTACACCACAAAACACACATTTGGCATTTTCTGTGCTCAGTTCACCATATAGGAGCATTTCAGAAAGTCCTATTTACAGCTTTTAATTCTAGACTTCAGTTGCATCATGTTATATCCTAGCTAGGCTGTATATGCCATTGAATAATGTGATATTGCTGTTTTGTTTTTGTAAACCAAAGAAAAGAAAATTGAATGCTGCTAACAAGCACTGATGATAAAAGTTTTATGTGATTTCCTTGGAAAGGAAATTGTGTGTACATTGTGGAGTTACTACTCCTGTGTAGTCTGTGGCTAAATAACTCAGAATCAGAGAGTCACAGACTACGTACATTTGGAAAGGACCTCCAGAGATCACCTAGTCCAACCCTTCTGCTCAAAGCAAAGTCAAATAGATCAGACTGCCCAGGGCTATGTCCAGACAAATTCTGATTATATCCAAGGACACAGACTTTACAATCTCTCTGTGAAACCTATTCCAGTATTTGTTCATCACAGTGAAAAAGCCTTTTGTTTGGGTGGAATTTTTTGTATTTCAGTTTGTGCCCACTGCTTCTATTCCTGTCAATTAAAAGAGTTACATTTCCATTTCCTTATTTCCCACATCAAACACTGTCCACTCCGACCCATCAGGTATTTAAACACATTGAACAGATTCTCCCTGAGCCTTCCCTTTTCTCTAGGCTAGGCAATGTCAGCTTTCACAGCCTTTCCTCAGATGACAGATGCCCCAATTTTTTTATCATCTCCGTGGCCCTTCACTGGACTCACTTCAGTATGTCCATGTGTCACTTGTACTGTGGAGCCCAGAACAGGACACACTACTCCAGAAATGGCCTCACCAATACTGAATGGAAGTGCATGAGATAATCAATTTCCAGGTGTAGGACTTTGCATTTCCCTTTGTTGAACTGCACAAGTTTCTGTTGGTCCATTTCTCCATCCTGTCAAGATCCTCTGAATAACAACAGGACCATCTCATGTATCAACCGCTCCTCTAAATTTAGGGTGCACTCTTTCTTATTGTCTGTCAGTAGTGAAGATGTTAAATAGTACTGGGGGACACCACTAGTGACTGGGCTTCAGCAAGGTTTCAAGCCTCTGATTGCAGTCCTTTCAGCCCAGCAATTCAGGCACTTTCAGTTCTCCTCATTGTCTACTTATCCAATCCTCATTTGCTCCATTTGTCTGGGAGAATGTTATATGAGACTGTTAAAATCTTTGTTACAGCCAAAATAAACAATATTCATAGTTCTGAATGTCTCAGATTTCCATGATCTTTCAAAGATGAATAACAGCGGCCTCCTAATGGCATGGGTCAGCTTCCCCAGGTCTTTGCAAGTGCATCCCCATCAGACACCATGTACATGTGCACATCCCATTTGTTGAAATATTTGCTAACCTGATCCTCGTCTACCAAGGATAAGTCTTCACTGCTCCAGGCTTTCCCACAGGTCTCAGGGGCCTGGAATTCTTGAGGGAAAATCTTACCTGCAAACTGAGGTGAAAACAATGTTGTGTAACAGCTTTTTTCATGTTCTGTGTCACCAGGTCACTGCAGTAGTGAGCCCCGCTTTCCCTCTTCTGCCTTTTGCTGCTGAGATACCTGTAGAAAACCCTCCTATTTCCCTTTGTGTCCCTCGGCAGATTCCACTCCAGATGGGCGCTGGCTTTCCTGATACCGTTCCTGCACACTTGGACAGCATCTCTATCATCCACCTGGGTCACTTGATCCTACTTTCACCTCTTAGTGTATTAGTTCTTTATATAACTTGAACAAAACACCTTTCAAATTATGACAAACAGATTTCCTTTAGAGAGTTGTCCACATCCCCTGTCAAAGCTGAGCTGCTGTGCAGCCAAGACCCCAGAGGCAAGTGAAGATGCAGCAGACTAGGATGAGCCTAAGTGGATCTAAGGAGTAAGTGCTTGACTGGCAGGGGGCAGCACTGGGCTCCTATAGCACCAAATTCAAGCACACCACATGATCTGAAGAGAAATTCAGAGGTAGAAAGGGAAGAGGGGAGGTAGTAGGTCCTGTAGAGTGACACAAAAATCAGATATTGCATTGTAAGGATGAAATGGCACAAATTACATTGTGCCATTTCTCACACATTATCAGAACTGACACTGAATTTCAGTTTCATTAGAAAATGTTACTACTCCCAGAGGCCTATTAGCTGACAGAGTAATAGGGTTGGAAAGCTTTAAAGAAGCACAAAATATTTTGATAGAGAGACAAAAGAATAATCTATGGCATCAGAATGAACTTAATGATACTAAAAAGGGAGGAGCAACTAAAAGGACGGAAAAAACAACTTAAACTGGCTGGTTAGCAAGCAGCAAAAAAGAAAAACTGGATATGTTTTTAAATAAAAAAGTGTAAGTTGATTCTCAAGTCAGTATAAACTGACATAATTCCATTAATATTGCTCAGTTAACAGTTTTGTTGCACAAGCTAAGTTCCCCGCTTGAAATTGATGCTGTAGGCTGGTCCTCACAGAGAGGAAAACACACCTTAATTGAACTTTTATCCATGGAAGGGTTTCAGGCTCAGACACAGTATGAAGGACCTTGGGTTTTCTTGAAGCAACTATGTTCAGTTTTCTAATCAGAAGTTTCTATTTTTGGATTCTAACTTTTACAGTACTGTCCCACTCCTCTACAATGAACACTTACCTTCTTTAGCTCTTCCTGAATACTTCTGCCATTTTCCTCTGAGGACAAACTCTCCTTCTGGTTTTCAGGATCCATTCCAGGTTCTGACTCTTGTTCTTCACCAGAAGATGTTTCCTTGTCACTCATTTTAGCAGCAAGCTGAAATAACCTGGATTTAAGCTCCTCCTCCATAAGGTCAGGCTTGATATTATGGTGCTGATCTTCATTGCTTATATCTGTCTCTGATAAATCATCAAAATCCTACAAAGAAATAAGAAGAACCATATAATTCCTGCATAGGCACAGAAAGAAAAAACAGCTTCCTAGAAAATTATGGGTATGATCACCCTGCAGGGAAACTAGACAGAAAGCACACTAAGTGTTCTGATAAAAAAAGGAATGACAGTAGACCAACACTTGTTGGATTATATTTATCATTCCTGCTTATTTTCATATTCCCTAAAAAGGAACTATGAAAATCATTATGTGTCTGTGTGCAACTAATAAAATATGTCGAAGTGGCATTTCCCATTCCCAGCACTGCCATCACTCTCAGGTGTGGTGCAGGTAAAGTGAGTTGTGGGAATTAAATAACCTGTGACCTCGCAGTTATGTTCAGCTTTCCGTTGAAAGCTGCGCTCACATTCCCTGACTGCTTGGTCTTGAGCTTTATCTGTGTTCTTCTTAAAGATGACTGGAAACAAGTTTGGAAAAATCTCTCTTTTATTACATGACGGTGCTTAAGATTGTCAGTGATTATTTGCATAGGTGGATCCTCTACAGAGACAACTGTTTTCCAAATGCCAACTTCCTTGGAACAAGTTCAATCTTCAGGAGCACTTTCTTTTCTGACTCTTGGATCCTTAAATGTGGGAAACACTTAGAGGGTCAGTCACGTACAGTGGGTGTTACAGACTTGATCACAAGTCCCTTACTTTGGAGGCTGAAGAGAAGAAAAGAAAAATCTTTTTGTAAATTTGCTTAGCAGGGTGCCTGCCTAGCATTTAATAATGTGGAAAGGGGGTAGTTTTGTCAGCCCTTGCAGAAGACCTGAGAATATCTCTTAGTTGTTCTGAAAACTAATGCCCAGGTACACATTAATTCATTGTCTGGATCTGTGCTGTCTGATAAGGACCCAATTTTGCCTGATTTTCACTACCGTTCCTGGAGAGAGACAGGCATCTCCCAGAGCAACTTGTTCCACCTATAGTGGTTAATTGCCTTCTGGAAATGTTCTCTCTCTGCTGACTGCTAAGGGAAAGTTTTGAACCGTTAGATAGTTTGAAAGTTTTGAACCGTTAGATAGTTTGTTCAGTGTTTCAGCCAAGTCCATAAAGTAAGATGGAATTAGGTGGTTTTAAAAGTGATGAATTCTTTGAAATGGAGCATAATCGTGCAGAACCATCCAGAAGAAGGCTGTGAAGAATTCAGCCCGGCACCAGAGTGGTAGGCACATCTCAGCGGGTCTAAAGGGATGATTTGAAGCAATTCTCAGACAGCAAATTATTCGTATTTGCTTTACGCTTTCATACTGTGACAGGATCAGACACTGCTGAAGAGACTAAAAGCTGTGTTCTCTCTACCATTCATTTGGAAATACATAAATAGGAGATTTGCTTTGCAGAGCTACTCTCTCCGCAGCTATAGCAGCACTGTTTATGGATGATCCAATTACCTCCAGTTCTCACAGGAAATGTTAACCCTGCCAACTCCCTCACAAACCCTACTTGCCAAAGTGCTTTTAATGGATTGACATTTTGTGTTCATAATGTCAGTTCTCCTCTCTCACACAGTACACTGTACTGTAGTGTCAAGCACTTTCACAGTTTCCTGGACAATGTTTGTCTGCAATTATTTGCAATTCAATCAATTACGCAACTAAATTATTGCTTTATAGCTCACCTTCAGGATGCAGAAGGCCCTTCTAGAAAATCAGGATTTGAAAGAAAAATAGAAATTTGAAAACTACAATAGTAGTGGAACCATGAGTTTGTGCTGAAATTCTTTTTCCAAACAATCAGCTTTTGCAGAATAAAAAGCTTTTTCTGCCAAATGAACATTGAAGCTGTTCAATGATCAAGAATAAGATCTCAAATCAGTGTGTTTCCACTTTAGTTTTATAATACGATATGCTTTTATATACATGTAGAAAGGTGGTGCATTTCACAGTTTTAATTAAAAATCTGTATTTATCATAACGGTGCTTCCTCAAGTTGTAAGTAGAGATGGGTTTTTTCAGACATATCTTGCATATCTATTCAACAACTCATTACAACTCACAAATACACGTATAAAATCTAGTGGAGCAGTGAGGGAGGCTAGCAGTCCAGAGAGGGAAATTTTCCCACATTTCCTCCTCCCTGCTGTACCATGATGTACTGACAGACTTCATCATGCAGCAAGACATGCGTGATTCCTCTGGGGGCTTCCTACACAGATCTGCTTAGCTTTAATTTTTTAGCAGCTTTATTGGAGTAGCAGTGCACACATACCTCCATGGGAAGCACCACCAGTTAATTTAAAGAATCCACATTAACAACAGCAGAAAGACAATGTCTCTTGATCCTGAAAATATACCAGTTTTCATAGGATCACACGTAGCAGCACCTTTTGGGTTGATCTCTACCACCTCTATACAAAGCTCAGCAAAATCCTGTAGAGCCTTGCAGCTCATTTCCCATATATTTTGGAGGAAGGCATGGCAGGACAACATTGTCAAATTGCTCAGATTCAGCAGGATAAAAAAATTGAGGTAGTTTTATGAAACAAGGTGAGTGAATGTAACAAGCTAGTGCTACTGAAATAGAGTCATCCTGAAGCTTCCTCCCCTTTACTTGGTTGAAAGGTGTTGTGCAGGCTTGGCAAAGGGGTCCAAATGTGTGCTAAATCTGACAAGGGAGAGAGTGGACTACACTGGAGGCAGATGGAGGGAAGGCAAACAGGACGGCAAACAGGACGGAGGTATTCCTCTTTTGGCAACAGCAATCTGCAATGTTACCTTAGCCACACATCACACCATTACAGAAACAATACAAATACTAGCTTGTGCTTCAACGCATATACAATTTTTTCCTAATTTTCTGGGAAACTTAGAGAGCTTTTTGCTACATCTGCCAGCACAGGTAAGAGTCACAAGCTGCCTTGGCAACCCAGAGGTCTCATTCCACATCAGCTAAATTTGTGTTTTGAATTACACATAATTTCTTGGGAGAGGACTCACCTTGAGAGTATTGATTGTATTACAGCTGGATTCAGTCACATGCAGAGATAATGATATCTTATACTGCTACACTTTGTGGTTTCTGTTACTGTAGGCTACTTGATTTGTGTGTTGGGCTTTTCAGATAGTAGCAGCGAACTATTTGTGAGGAGATTATACATCTTTCATGGACTGACATTAAAAAATGCATTAGAAACCATGACAATAATAAAAAATAAATAAATTGAAAGGTACTCCTATTATTATTTATTTAATAGATACTGACTTAAACTTCATTATTCTCTACTGTTCACATTTTCACTCCTTCTGTTACGTTTAATGACATCTTTGTGTCATTACACAAATCATCATCTAAATTCCCATTTGCATTTATCAGCAACATATAATACTAATGTCTGCAAACAAGAATAAAGGGCTATCATTTTATCTGAAAACTGAGCTTTAGTGAGGGCCTGGCAGACTGACACAGCCATGAACCCAGTCTTACTAAAAGAAAACCAAGTGTCTCTATGCAAGCATAAGTCCTTCAGCAGACAATGAAGAAGCAAATACACTTTTCCTCATACACACTGTCCAAATCCTTGTATGGAAATTACTCATGACTCAGTGTAATCATAGTGAACAACAATAACAAAAAAAGGCCCCAAAATAAAGCAAGCAAGCAAGCAAAGTAGTGACTTGGAGGCTCCAGAACCAAATCCTGTTAAACTATAAACTCCTGACAGAAAGTTCCCTTCCTATAGGAAACCAACAATCAGAGACTACAATTTTTAGGAGAATAAACAAATTGTGAGGTTTGCAGACAGTTTCTTTGTGGTAAGAGCCAGTGTGATTTTAGGGCAGGTATTTTCAATAAATACATCCCAAGCGCCATCCCGTGGGGACCGGCAGTCTGACAGTGCTCACCCCTCACCTGGCGGCAGGGCAGGAGGACTGTAATTAACAGGTGGGGTCTCCTGATCAAAGAAGCAAACTCATAATGAGGACACTTCTTTCACTCCAAGCAATTAAGCCACTCCACTTTCCATCAGAAATATAAGAACTGCAGGTACATTAAGCAGCATATCCTCCTCTCAAAAAGATAACGAAAACCAATATCGCAATATTATTATTACTAATAATATCAACTATTAATAAAACTATTAATATTAAAAACAGACAAGGATTAGTGGTTTGAGTGTACAAAAAGTTACAATTTGAAAAATAATCATTATTAAAAGCAAGTTTGCACTTCCCAGTACAGTTTCCACAGGAACATAAGTCTTCTGTGGTACATAAGCAATCAGGTTATCAGAAAATTATTATAGTAGGACCTTGGTTTTATCAGGACAGTTTTCACGTCTTGCTTCATGACTATGTTTACAGCATCTCTACATGCAACTCAGTAAAGTAGCTTGTTCTTTTACCTATTATTAAGTGGCAGATACTCAGATACAGTACATTTTGGTATTTTTTCTCAGGTTTCCCTTATTAAGTCACTGAAGACTTTATAAAAAATTCTTTCTCAGTCACATAGTCAGTGTTCCTTTGTTGAGTCTAAAATATATTTTAAAAAAACATGCCACAGCATTATACTAATCTAGGTGCTGGATCTTGATTAAAAAATATCTGATTTTAAATTGAAATTCAGTTGTGAGTTATGAACTGACTGCAGTTGTTCCAGAACCTAACTGCTTACAATTCTCTAGACTTGGAGCAGAGAGGAGAAAGGGCCCATTTTCATTGCACTGAGAGTCTTAGAGAGCAGCAAACAAGAAAGTAACCTTCACAATTTGAAAATTAAAAAAGAAACCCCAACTTCTAGACTGCTAAACTGAAATCCTGTTCTACAATGCTGATGAAAACATAATGGTTAACTAATTATCATCTTATTAATACAATGCAGTAAAATACTATTAAAATATTATTAAATTATTAATATTACCAATATAGTATTAAATTACTAATATTATTAAAAGGTTATTATTGCAATGCAGTAAAGTACTGAAAAAGTATGTTACTATACCTCAATTTACATATAATCAGTTGCTCAGTGTCTAATATCTAGGTGCAACATGGTTTAGAAGAGTTTGTATGGTTTCTGCAAATTCTGTATCAGCTTATAATGTGAAAATCTATGTCTAGTTTAAGATGCCACAGTGAATCTTCTTTAAGTCTATGCTGTCTGCAGTTCTTCACGCACCTACACTGTAATTTTGTACAAACTGTTCACATGTAGGGCTCTCCCTGCTGCAGCCTCAATCATTTTACCAAGATCAATACATTACTTTGGGGAATATATGAAACCCTGACATCCCTTTAATCTCATTTTTCTAAGCAATATAAATGATGCCTGGTTAATTCATTTTGATACCTTAAATCATATTCCTTACACTCGTGATCATTTTAATTGCTTCCTAGAATTATTCAACCATGCAACATCCTTGCTATAAATTGTGGTAGTCAGTCCTGCTCCCAACAGTGCTTGTGTACCAGAGGCTGGAATAACAGTTCTACAAATGTGAGCACTGGCTGTCCAATCAGCCACCTGGAGGGGTGTGTGTCCCCCCAAATACAAACTAAATGCATGCAAACCCACCCATACATAAACTTCCTAGTGAGAACTTCATTGCTTTGAAAGCACTGGTGTGATCTGGAGGCAGTGTGCCCCTGCTTGCCCCACTGTGGCTGAGGGAACAGGAACAGCCTCTTTCAGCCTAAAGGGTAAAATGAAGGGGAGAGCTCCAAACTTGTGTTTTGAACACAACAGAGAGGTTATAAGAGGCAAAGCAATGCACAAAAGACTTGGAAAGAAGAAACATTTTCTGCACCAGCTTGTACTTTGAAGAACACACTATGCAGCTGAAGGATGCCATCACATATGACTGGAAGCACCCTGCCTTTCTGACCTCCCCAGTATGAATGTTGGGCAGGTTTAGATTGGACATTAGGAAAAATTTCATCACAGAAAGAATTATATAGCACTGGAACAGGCTGCCCAGGGAAGTGGTTGATTCACCATCCCTGGAAGTATTTAAAAGATGTGTAGTTGTGGCACATGGTCTAGTGGTGGACCCTGCAGTGCTGGGTTAACAGCTGGACCTGATGGTCTTAAAAGTCTTTCTGATCTAAATGATTCTATGATTCTATAATGTCTCCAGGACCTTCTCTGTGAGCTCAAATCTTCTATGCTCTGCAGAGCATTAGTACCCAGAAAGCCACAATATGAATACAGACACACATAGAATGTGCATAAATACACAAAACCAGAAAGGGAAATGCAGAAGTTTGTATAAAAGATATGGTCTTTGTGCAGTCCCTGGAAAGTCTTGTAGTTCTGCCTGATGTTCTAAGAAATCATTAATGGCCACTGATGTGCTGTCAGAGCACATTACCATATATAACTCCCCTTCAACAACTGTTGATTGTAAATATATGAGGACGTATATAAATGAATCAGCACCCCAAACACCCACACCTCTGTCCTAAAAGCAGATGGAGTAGATACAGAATTAACAATACTTTACCCAGCAGTAATGCCCTGCTGAAATCCTAGAATCCTAATCTTGATTTACAATCAGCTATACTGATGTCTTTCTACAGGAAATACAGGCTAGTAGCATAAGCAAAGAAAAAATATTCCAGGCATCCTAAATTTGTTCAGATAGCTTTAAGACTGCATCAGGCTGCTTGTTGTCAGAGCCATAGAGAGAAGATGGCCCTCAGCTTCTTGCGTCAGGCTTACCGCTACTCTGCTGCAGCGATGATGCAGCTGCAGGATTTAAGAGGGGTAGGACATGGGAAATGGGACTGGACAAGGGATCAATATTCTCCTCATCTAGTATGCTTGTGCTGCTAAAAAAATATTGGGGGACAACCACATCCCTTACTTAGTATCAGTCCCAGGCCTGGACAAACTCCAAACAGAGAAGACTTTTTGGCTTTCTGGTTATCCAACACTTGTTTAAAAGAAATGTTTGAGAAGTTTGCTGTCTTTAAGTTGTATGATCAGTTTTTCCAAATTTGAGCTACTACTTTCTGTGGGATTTTGCTTGTTTGGTTGGTTTTTGTTTGTTTTGTTAATCAATTGACAAATTATTTAAAGTGAGGTAGTTTGCAAACACTCACCCTAACATGTGAGAACTCGTCATAAGGCGACCAATTAAAAGCAGACATCACTTGGACTGTATTTCACAAAAAGCCCTTTCTGAATTTCTGCTTCTCATTAGCTTTATCCCTTATCAGGACATTTTCAAACACTGCACAGCAGATTCCCAGACATATGTGTTATTTCTTATTCCAAGAACAAAGGAGTTAAAAAACCCCAAACAAACAGAACAACAAAACAGGTGATTAATTAACATTTTTTTAGCTGTTGACGAATCCTGTCTTTTTTGTCTTTTTTTTTTAGGAGCACTGTATTTTACAGCATTAACAATGTCTTTGATCAGATGAAAGTGGCATATTTGAGAAAGAGGCAAAGCCTGCTCATGATATATGTAACACTTCACCTTTGCTTCTTTTCATTTAGGAAGCATGAGGAAGATTAAGCTTACAAAAATGCTCCACCTCCCATTCAAGATTCACATGTTATTGCCAGCATAGTTTAATTAGTTTAGCTCTTTTTGAGAGTGCATTTGCTAAGCTCAGACACAATTACCTGACTTATATTCATCTTGCTGCTTTTTGCCTGATTCTTGTCTTCACATAATTCTTCAGAGGTTGCTTTGTTCTTCCTCCACCTTCTTGATCTCTTTTCTAAATCATAATGGACTTCTTCAGTCTCACTGCTGTCTGAATACTCTAAGCTAGTTGCCTGTGGATTAAAATTTACATCCAGTTCTCCATGGAAATGTTTCTTTTCCATTCTGGGCATATCACTTTGAGTTCTGCTTTGCAACCAGAGAAGTTTGCTAGGTCCTTTAGCTTCCTGGGAAGAGTTTACTGAAGATGTTTCTGAATCAGAGAACTGTGTCTCAGTATTGGTGTATAACCCAGAGGAAGGGGAGGTCACTGCCTGGTACTGATCATTGCCATAAACCCATTCGGTACCATACTGGGAATTGGTATAATAGAAATCGTCTGGTAATTGTCGAGGTCTCCTACGCAGCTTGTTCAAGGCCACATTCCAGTCGTAGTCATCCTCACTGTCTGAGCCCATCTCGTCATAGGCAGACACAACATTGGATTCATTCTCCAAAGCTCTGAATACCTGACTCTTTGGTTTGGCAAGCATTCGAGGACGAGGCAAAGCGACATTCTGCAAGGCTACCCAGTTTCCATCAGTGCTTTGCAAAACAGAAGGTGGACCTATGAAAATGAAACAAGAACAACTGTGATCACTCTGTGAAAGGCTCATTTTACATGACACAAGTTGGAGGATTCAACAAAACTAACAAACAAATGCAAGTATTGCTGCTACATGAACTCTTCCATGCTGAGAGCCGTGATGCTGTACTACTCAGAAGCCACCACTTAAAGTCATGGCGATGACTATTTAAAATGTGAGAGGACTTGGACCAAATCTTTTTTTCTAAAAGAATTATTAGGAAAGGCTGACGGAACATCAGTACACAGAAATGTATAAATCCTGAGTTTTGCAAATGTCTTTGATTGTGTGTGCAGTTCTGGTCCTCCAAGGAGGAGGAAAGGAAAGATGGAAAAAGGATCAGAGAAAAGCAATAAAGGTTGTAACAGATTCTGAAACGGTGTCCATTCAAGGAATGATTAAGTAAGCCAGAGCTCTGTCATCTGGAGAAGAGAAGGGTGAGAGGATAAAGGCTAAAAGAGATGGGGGAATCTCTTCCAACCTAACTACGAGAGGACATGAAGTGAAGCTAGAGAAATCAAGGATCTAAACCAACAAAATAAAGAAGTGGGATGCAATGGATACCAGACCTATGGAGCTTCCTGCCTAACTTGTTATGGATGCTAGAAATTATTTGGGATAAAACAGAGATGGCTATGGACATGGAAGAGAAATCCACTGACATTTACTAAATATAGAAAACCACTTCTAGATAAGTTGAAAGTTCTAGAGGTTCAGAGCCTACTCAGAGGCAGCATGAAAAATATGTGCTTTGTCCTAATCTTTCCCAGACTCTTGCTTATGGCTACCATTGCTGCTCTTGTTGTTCCTTAGACTAAATACTAAATAGCTTTCTGTCTGACACAAGCATTGCTGCTCTTGTATTCTTACACTTTTTCAGAGTATGTTTTACAACTTCAGCAGAAAAAAAAGAGTCACAAATATGGTGAAAAAGTGCTATATAACTCAGAGAATCTAATTTTTTCTAAATTTAGATTCCATTTCTAATCAAACTTGAAAATTCCCCTCTTGGGAAATATAAATGTGTGATGACTATGTCCTGCAGCAGTTTAATAAATATATAGTGCCACAGATTTACACAGTAATCTCAGCCTACTGAATGAACTTTTCAGACTTATGGATTCCTCCCATGGGTTTGAATTTACCATTTCCAGAAAATTATAGAAACTCTTAATATAAACATTAGTTTTCTCAAACTGTGAGCAGAACATCATTATTTTAAAATGGACAAAGTAATATCTGGATCTGTTGTAGATGATAATTAAGAATTTTGCATTAGATGATTACAAATACTTGGATGATAAAACTATTTTTTTCCTGGTATTTTTCATAAAGTACACCACTATGCAGTAAGAAGGTGTGCTTGGTTAAAAAAAAAAAACAGTCTGAGCTGCACTACCACCACCAAAACAACCCCCCAGAAATAAAACACAAATTAAATGGTAATTAAACTTGGGAGCTATGCAAGATATAGAAAAAATTTTGCATTTTTTACTCATTTGAATCCTTTTGGCTTGTTTTTACTTCCTAAGTTTCATGTCAATTCAGAAAACTTGAGAAAATACATCACTGAAGTAATTTTTACTCCTGCCTAAAGGGCAATTAAATAATACTAGTTTTCTTGTAGCAGTGACCAGCTGAGGATATAACTGAAGTCAGATTTGTAGGGAGAACTAATAACTGTTCATTGTAACCCCTGATTTTGGAGAAAAAGAAAGAATACAAGCTATCAAGCATAAGAAACTTCTGCTTGTTCACTCTTTCCAACTGTGCTCACTTATCTTAGCATAGGATTATCTTGAGAGAAAGAAGACCTTTCCTTAAAAACATTGTTCCTTCAAACAAAATATAAATCTCCAACAGGAATTGAATTCAGCTGCACATTATACAAATGTAAGAGAGTGCCACATACTTTTTTTCTGCCCCAAACCATATCCCCTTATTTTGTTTAACAACAATACAGGAGAATCAGTCAAACAATCTCTGTTAACTGAAGAAAGGACAGGGTAGTAGTTGATTACATCTTAGGGGGCAAGCAGGGTAGAAAGCCACTGAGAACTCTATATTCAGAAGGCTGACTCAGTTTTATCCCAGCTTCAAGCGTTGTCAAGTGCTCCCTTACTGATTTTTCAAAACAAAGTCACTTGCTTGAAAGAATCGATTTTGCACACAATTCTTTGGGCATAAGCTATAATTCATCCATGTGAAAATGAAAAAAGATTTAAGAAGTTTCATTGTAAAACTATTGGTAAAAGGGAAAAAACCCCGCAAAGTCATGATTTGGCTCTTGAGTCATCACTAAACCAATACAAACTGTAATCAAAATGAATTGTGAACTGCTTTTTGGTTACATGACTAAAAAGCCCATTGATGTTATCACTTCAAACTCTTAGTTGAGATTTCTTTGGTTTTCTGAATCCTAATACAGAGCTGCTTATTACTGCTTAGGTGAGACCATATTTACACATATTAGCACAATCAGCTATTTTCTGTAAGCTCAATAGGCACCACAATTTCATCACAAATGTGGTTTTTAGATGAAAGAAGCAGAACAAATCCTCTGAGTAGAGCACCTGAAAAGAAACTGTGTCAATTTGTCATTCTGCTGTGGTTAAGCAACTGTTAAGTACTAAATTGCTCAACAGTTGAATTCAATGGGATTGAAGTGGGTTCTTAAATTTAAGCACCAAATTAACTGCTTTACTGAAAATAGGCCTTCCACTAAAATGCCCAGGAGAACAAGGCTTCTGACAGGGGGTTGAATGAGCAGTTCACAAAGTGATGCATATTTAGTTACGTCAGATTTTAATACTACTTTACTAAAAATTTCCTTCTGGGAGGAAGGAGGGGTATTGAAACTGTCTAAATTTCAGTATCCCAAGTTATCTACTGGCATAACAGATAAATAAATTGAATGGATGGGTAGTCCCCATACCTGGTCTCCACTAAACCCAAACACATATTTTGGCTGCTTCTGCTTGCCAGCCCCTAGTGAGCCAGCTGTGGGGGTCACAGCACCAGTAAACACCCTATGAAAGAGAAGTTTTCCGCCTGTGTAGCTTGCCACAGGGGTCAGATAGGTTCTACAGCTGTTAGAAGAGAAGAAGTAGGAACAAACAGACTCTGTCATGGGAGGACAACACCTGGAGCCAGGGAATGCTGCTACAGTGAGCAGTTCAGCTCTTCCCCTTGTGCAGCTGTAGGGTGAAAACTAACCAACTCTTCTGTGCACCTGTTGCCTGGTGCTGCCCTCCTGTCCTTATGTCACCTTGAAGTAAGCAGGGAATTGCATTCTATCCCAGGGTGCTGCTTCAGGGATGGGGCTGACTTGGAAAGCTGCTCATGATCCCTCATCCGTATTTACATCCATACCTAACACATGATGACAGAGGACAGATCTAGGGAAACTGTTGGTCCGTGAAGTTCCTATTCACATAGCTTCCTCAAACTCATATAGAAGCATCAGTTAGTAGGGCTGCACATTTGTGAATTCATCATGGTTGAAAATAAAGTTTCAAGGGGGAATTCTAAATGTGAATTGTTTCAATGCTTGGTTCACCGTGTAACCTCATGAACAGTTACCTGTGCAAACAGAAGGGACACTGTGGACAGCTGCAAACTCCTTCAACTGGAGGACAGATTACAAAGAAGGGTCCTTGGACTCTTGTGTCTTAGAAGCTCTGAAATACATCCAAACTGGCTGCCTAATTTTTGTGACAATCCAAAATCAACTCCATAAAGGCCTAAATTTTGAATCCTTCTTTTAGATAAAAAAGGTAAGATAAGCAATGACACAGCTCAATGAAATAGTGACACAGCATCATCAAATATACATTTTGCATGTGACCTCTGAAAGCACAGAGGTCAGCAGAAATGCCCTGGAGAAGGTCCTTGCTTTAAGTTGTATTTATTCCACATGTGAGTGAGAACCAAAAAAAGAATCTTATTCGTACTAGAAATATTTACTTGTTTCATTTAGCCTGTCCACACTCTTCCAGCTGGGTAATGCAGAGAGCTTATGTTCCTTCTGCTTCCTGGACTGCCCTTTTTGCTGCCTCTGAAGAGCCTCGGTCACAGACGATGCAGAGTCTTGTCCTTTACTGGTCGTATCTTCACTAGCCAGGGAGAATGCAGACTGAGACCTCTGTGGGATTAGAAATCAAAGAGTATAATTTTAAAATAGAAATACTTAATTATCCAACTCTTTACCGTAATCAATATTCATTTTCCCAGGGAAGTGTGGGATCTGCTAGCATCACAAATGGAATTTAATGTATTCAGAAGAATTGTTTCAGCATTAGATTGCTTATTTATGTGCATTTCTGATGCTATGCAAGGAGGCAGGAAATTTTTTATACTATCATGGGCCAAATGGAAAGAAATAATTGAGGTGAAGTTCTTGGGAATGTGCTTGGTGAGGACTGATATCTAACTGCTGTGACTCAAGTTAGTCAAAAGGGATCTCACTGTGGTGAGACGTGATGATGTATTGTTGGCTTAACAGGCCATCTGGTGTAACAATTTGCAGAAGTTAAAAATTAAAAAAAGCAAACAAACAGCCTGTTCCTCAGAAATAGATAAGCAAGTCAAATGATTTAGAATTTTATTTGCTAGGACATACATATCACCCAATATGCTGAGCAGTTTTATGCAGTCTTACTAATGAAGTCAACGTAGCCTACAGTTGCACATCTATTTATTTCTAGGAGGGTCACATTTCAAGTGAAAATAAGGTAAAATACTGTTGTGATTGTTGATCAGCCCTGACTACTACTGAGGGGAAGGGACTTTCCTTTTATTTCACATAAATAAATATAATGTCACATAAATATAAATAATGTCACCAGACATTTTAGTTTTGACTTAGGCACAGAGGTCAGCAACAGAAGACATTTAAATTTGGCCATTTTAAAAAGCTGTGAAAGCTGGTAGTGTCCTACTGATTTCAGAACTCACACTTGCATATCAAATCACATATGTAGTTCTAGAAACAAGGCTACAGAGCTCAAGTCAAGTTGCCTTTGCAGTAGAGTTAGTAGAAGACTGTATACACTGGGGATTCATTAAGAAGTGTGCTTCCAAGTGGCTCAGCTGCTTTGCATAGGCCAAGTTGGCACTCTCAAATCTTTGTACATTTTTGCTGATGTTCAAATTACAGATAATTAACTAAAACTGTTACTCTCAAAAGGGCCAGTCTTCGTCTGTATCAGAGCTCTGCTTTGCACTGGTGCAGATGAGGTAAAGGGGAACTTGACTTTCAGCTATTTTCAAGTCCCTCCAATTCCCAGGACAGTATAAGCTTTGCTGGGAGTCTTGCTGGCTTGAAAGCCACAGTAACAACACTTCCTGGCTGCACTTCCTCCCATCTGAAATGCTCCTGTATGAGACCCATGTACCATACCAGAAGATTTAATTAACTGCAAATCTTCCTGTATCCTTGGCTCAGTGATGTGATTTCATAACAAATTTGGTAAAAAGAAACAAGGCTAAGCACAAGGGTTTAGTTTGGCTTCTGAATTCTGGAGGAAAAGCCAGAATTATTGCCCTAGAATCAAATAATTTCTGTAACTGCAATGACCGCATAACTTTGTTGATCTCTTCCACAGTAAGACACAGGTCCTAATGGGATGCATTGGACTGTTTCCTTTCAAATTCAGGGAATAAACTACTCACAATAAGCTCATAGTACCATATAACTTTACTACAGGGAATCTTTCAGATGAATCACTATTTTTAGCCTACATTTTATTCAAGTGTATATTTAGGCTGTTTCAAACCAAACCTTGAACTAGATCTTCAGCTGATCAAGTTCATCTGAATCCTCCTTAACCTGTAAAAGGGTTAATAATTTAACACAATACATACAGTTACATAAATTGTTTTGCTATAGGAAATTTGCTCATTAACTTTGATTTCATCCTGTCAGGATATATGGGCAATATAAGCTCTTCTGCCACAAGTTGCCACCCGAACTATGATGAGTTTTAACTGTGCTGTGGTTCACTTCCCTTCATTGTAAAGCAAGAACTACCAAACTTCCCATGCTTTCAACAAATTAGGTCCAGTACATATCTGTCATATCCTTTGATATCTTTTTGTTAAAGTTGTTACATACTGAAAGCAGTAAGTTGTCACTATTTTCACAGTACCATGAATATTCCCTCAGAGCACATTCTGTTTCCATGAGAGATAAGAGATGCTGAAGACCCAGAAGAAGGAATAGCCTACAGTTTTATCAGTAGTACCTATTTTCCCTTATTACTTACAGAACTGAATTGTAAGAAGGAGAAGAAGAATATCAGAAAAAACTGAAGTAGTCTATGTAACAATAACCTGGACTCAGATAATGACAGTAACATGTTTTTGTTATTATGTAAAATCTGCAGTTTTGACAACTTTTCTGTTTTGTTTAAATGTCAGCTTCTCCTGTGCCTACTCACTGTCTCATAAACATCACACTAAAGGCTGCACTGCAATGGTGGCAGCATCTGCACTTTGCTCTCAACTAACCTGAGAGCTGCCAGCAGATAACCCTGACAACACAGAACTTGGCATGGGCTGCAAAACCCCGCCGATGGAGCTGGGCACTCCTGCCCCCAGACCGATGCTTGCACAGCAATGCTGCAATTAGCACTGTTTGAGCAATTTAAAGCTGGCTCAGGTGCGTCTATGCTATAGGGCAGATAGAGCTTTCAGAAGGACTAGAAGATACACAACAGCTTGAAGGATTTGAAAAGGAGAAGAGCATGAAAGGCCTGATGAACAAAAGGCACTGAAAAACAAGGAAGTGCATAAAAGAAATCAGACGCAGTCCCATGTGGTATAGTAGACTAGGATCTGAAATAAGCTTATCCAAACAAGCTTATCTAAAAAATAAAGCAGATTTTTTAAAATTGTGTGCTAAAACTTTTGCGTCAGATCAGAGGGAAACTGCTCTTCACAGTTCCTGCAAGCTCTTTGTGGTGAGAAGGAAATGGGTATTTTCCAGAAACTACTGCTAATTCCCAGGAAATCTGATCTAAATACAGGAAGGGGTAAAGCTTTTGGTGCCTTCAAAGTTTGGCTTGAACCCATCCTCGGAGTGTCAATAGCCAAGTCTGGTGTAGGAACAGGAGAGAAGCATATCCTGGCATGAGAACAAATCAGTCTAAATTAGCATAAACTAGCCTTATTTTTCAGAGCACAAAAGCAAATGTTTGTCTACAAGTTCACCTCCAATCAATTAGCAGCCTGACTGGCAACTCTATCTGAAATGCAAATGACTCGAGACCTCATTTTGTTGTTTTTGCAACAAAGAGCAAATGAGAAAGTCAGTTATTTTGTGTGAGACTATGCAGCAGAAGCCCTAATCTTGCCTGACACATTTGCACCAGCTTCGACTCTTCATCCCTACAGCTACAGCATGGGCTTCAGCATGGGCTACATCCCCTGTACATGCCTGTCCATGCTGCTGACTTCACTGCTGCACTTACCAGCAGCAGAACTAGTTACTGTGCTGCATCTGTGTCTCCCTTCCTCACACAGGTAACAGCCTACCTGTAGATCCAGAGGGGATATTTTTCCCTTGGAGACATTTGTACAGGAAGGAAAACACTGAACATAAGGGAACAGGATTGAGAAGCTGGTGCTCCATGTATTTTCCCTGTGCACGGATGCAGGCAAGTCCTGGAGGTAAGGCCAGCTACCACAGTAAGCTCTTGGATCAGTTTGCATTGGAACAAGGGATATCTACTGATCAAACGAAGGAACCATGCCCCTCCATCTTTACCAATTGCCTACATACTTGAACTGCAACAAGATCTCAGAGCAGAAGAACCAAAAGTATCCAAAAAAACACAGGAGCCTAAATACAAATTTCAAAAGAAGGCAGGAATGTAGGAACTTTGGCGCCGATTGACATGAGATGTGAAGAAGGGAGCTAAAGCTACCCAGTGTCTTTTCTAACCAGAAGTTCTGGTTCATCAGCAAGAAACGCCCCCTGTCAGGCAGGTGCTATTTTAGGTGTACTTTTGTGTTATGAATTAAAAGGCTGCCCTGTAAGCTTGTGGTCAGACACCGCTAGTTTCTGCAGTAAATCAGTACATCAGCAGATGGCATTGCAACCCAGCAGGCCATTTGCTGTGCTCACTGCACACAGTCCACGGAGGCTTGGGCTGCATGCTGGAGTGCTGTGCTCTGCAGCACAGCTCACAAAATATAGTTACAGTATTGGCAAGTATTTCCAAACACTTGAGTTAGATGAGTTCCCTACAAATTCTTGCCTACTTGCATCTGCTCCAAGATGTGTGTTTCAAAATAAAATTCCACACATTATTATTCTCTTTTTTTAAATCCCTCTTCAGGGATTCCTGCTGAATAGTTATAATGTCTGGACAGAGAGAACTCAGCCTTCATTTTTTACTGGGCTAGAACTAAGATGAGTCATCTGTTTACTAAATGTCCTTCAATTAAAAAAAAAAAAGAAAATGAGATTTCTGAAGATTAAAAAAGGAAGGGGTGAATAAAAAGTAATCACATCTTCTATTACTTAATAAATAGAGATATTCCATCTTCTGTCTATAACAATTTACCAGTTCATTTTTCTGAACATTGAATAATTGAAAACAAAACAAATAATCAAAAGAAAGAAAAGCTTTTTACAAACCACTAGTGAATACTGAGTCTAATGCTGACAATCTATGGATTCTTTACCTTGAAAAACTCCCTTATATATGTAACCATATTTTTTAGAGAGACAACATGAAGATTTTGCACTACTTCATTCCTCAAAAGATGAAAGAGTATGGCTAATTCCTCTTTCTTCTAAAGAAAAGCCAAAATGTTAATTCAAAATAGGTCCCAAAAGCAACTGATTGGACTTTACAAAAGGTATTCTGGATCACGCATGTTTTTTTTTCCTTACTTCCCTCCTATTTCACCTTATTTCCACCCTTACACCAGCCTGGAGTCTGGTATAACTAGTAAAACAGTAAATTATTCTGCAGTTATTTAGAGTAGATCAAAGACTCTCCCAGCTTCAGGAGGGACTGAGAACCTCGTGTGCCACAAGGCAGCTGCAGGGTCACCACAGCAGGAGCCCTTGCAGGGCTGAGGATGGGTACCTTTGGATTTGGGCAGCCGAATCCTGTGCTGTGCAAGCTCTGC